ATGGAGGGAAAGCCGAATTTACATTTACTGTTCAGGAGCAAACAAGGAGCCATCTCAACCTTTGCTCAGGGACCAGGAAACTGAACAAGAACTGATTGAAGTGGTGTCATTGGCCTAGAAATTATACTACCAATACTTGTTACAGATAGTATTTAGGATTTAACAGTAGATAATTATTTTTAGTAGCAGATAATTTAACATCTTCAAGATGTATATTTAAAGATACTACTTATAATTATAATAATAATATAATTAATAATAATAATAATAATATAATAATCACAATTAATAAATAATATTAGAACAATACATACCAATTATGTTAGCAACTACATAAAATTTAACACCATATTAGTTAACGTAGTACAGTAACAATTTATTTGTATACACGTTAGTCCTGAGAGAAACATTTATTTTTTTTCCCCAGCTTTTTCTGCTTCAGCTCGAAGCAGTTAAACCAAAAAAACAGGAAGTCTAATGAATAAGAAATTCTTATTTATTGTATATTGTTTAAGGAAATGTAATTTGCAATGTTCCTTTACACTGTAGAATGTGTTGTTAAACAAGAAGTTTTCAATTTAGCTTCTTCAAATGTATGAAGTGTGTTTAAGTCTTGAATATCATTGCCTAGTTTATGGTAAAGTGTAATCCCATCTCTATTAGGTACTTTTTTATAAAAATATGCGCTTTCAGAGTGCGGGGAACAATGTAGGTTATCCTTTGGACGGGTGTTGTAGTTGTGTACATCAGAAATTAAAGTAAAGTGTCTTTTTTTTCATGAGAATTTTCTTGTGATGAAGACCCACTATTTCAAATATATGCCAACATTGTAGAGGTTAGAATCCCATTAGATTTATTAAACAGGGTTTTGCAATACTCCACTTATGATGCTGGTCATTGTTCGCAAATTCTGTTTTGGATAATAAATGGTCACTCGTGAGTGCTTTCCAGGAGCATTTCCCCAGATTATTTATTTCCATATTTAGGTCGTGAAGTCACAGTTTTGCAAAATACATTGTTCCCCAGTGTCCAGTGCATGAGCTTGACCTGAGGTATATAGGGCATAAGGAAAGATTTGCTAGCTTCTTGTTAAGATTTGAGATGTGAGTGTTCCATTTTAGGTTTTCTTGAATTGTTAGTCCGAGGAAGGCTGTTTCATGAAGATATCATTACAGGGTTTTGTTTATGAGCAAATGCAGTGAGACTTTTTCTTGTAGATCGGGGATTCATGAAATTTAGAGAGGCACAGTCTTGCTGGGTTTATTATGAGTTTAGTTGTCTTGAAACCAATTTTACTAGTGCTTGCAAAGTTTTGTGAGTTTCTTTTTCTAATGATTGTTGGTGCTTTTTGCTTCGATGATTATGTTTGTGTCATCTGCAAACAAAATATTTTGTTGTTCCTTAAAGCAAAGGCATGTCATTATGTATATAAGAATAGTATTGGCCCAAGATGGATCCTTGCGGGACTCCATAATTTTATTATTTAGGGCAGGAGTAGTATGAGAAGATTTTGTTTTCTTTAGGTGTTGGAGGGCAACGATTTGTACGTTTGATAAATATGATTTGATGCCATTGGCCTGCAATCCTCGAATCCCTAGCATATCTAGTTTTCTTAAAAGTATTGATGGTCAATGATGTCAAAGCTTTGACAAATCTAAAGAAAAAAGCCAACGGGAATTCCTTCTATTAGTATGCAACAAAGTATGTCATTTAAAAAGGGAGAGAATGGCTTGTCTGTGGATCTATATTCCTGAAGCCATTGTTTGCAATTGTCTAGGACATTATTTGCATTTGAGAAATGTTTGAGCTTATCATTTGTAAAAGCCTTTCCAGGAATTTTGAAAATCCTGATAATAAGTCATTTCTTGTAAGGTAGGACTCAATGAAATGAATCAAATGATGCTTACATCCAAATAGGTTCTACTGAAATTCATATTTATTATTTCATGTATTTAACAAGTGATTTTATTAACCACCAACTAAATGCAACACAAGCAGAGTGAGGTGAAGTGGAGCAGGGTGAAGACTGGAGATCCTAAGGTTTCCAGATCAAACATTGTACTCCACGAAGCATACGCCTTTGCCTTTTGGCTCACGCCTTTTGGCTTTTGGCTGCAACTGAAGACTGCATGGTTAGGGGTAGGCTGATATTAGATTGAGGAAGGAATAGAGCAGTGCAAGCGTGGGTGGATGAGGGCAAGACAGGCAGGGTAGGTCCGATATTCACTGTAAATGAATTAATTTTCCTGCATAAAAGATGATAATTTGTGGCCTACCCAGACAAGGTGCATCATGGTAATTCCAATATATAAGTATTATAAATAATAAATAATAGAATATCTTCAATATCTTTGAACAAAATATACAAAAGTATTAAACAAATAAAACAATTGTTTACAAACAAAACTTAATTGATGAATTTCATCATGAGAGAATCTGAGAAACACTGAACTGAGCTGTAACAATATTTTTTAAATTTTGACTGCTTGAATAAACTTTTATAAGTGTAATGGTAATAAATTCAATTGACTCAAGTGTGAATGTTTTTGTTTTCAGGGTCATGTTGTTCATTTTTGCTCAACCAGTTTTGCAAATTATGTTTTTTTGCCTTGCAATTGGTCAAGATCCAACTGGACTTAGTATAGCTGTTGTAAATCATGAACTCAATTCTAGTTATTTATGCTCAGAACATATTCACCATCAATGTCAGTTGGAATACCTAAGTTGTCGGTACCTGCATCATCTAAACAATAGTAAAAGTATTGTACAAGTAAGTGCACCATATAAAATATTTTACATTCAATAAAAATTACATTAATGATTAATTAACTTAATAGCAATAATAACATTTTTTGCTTTAGGAAAATTATTCTAACATCAGCAATGCAGTGTCAGCAGTTAAATCTGGTCATGTATGGGGAGCAATCTACTTCACAGAAAATTACACTGAATCTTTACTTCAAAGAATCAACTTCTCAGACACATCTTACTTTGAGCCGAATGACTGGGACAACAGTGAAATCAAAGTGTGGATGGACCAGTCAAGTTAGTAATTTTTCAACAATATTCCAGATCAGTAGCATTATTACAGAGACCAAATGAGGAGTCATTGCAAATGAAAGGGTAGACTTCTGCAGCCAGAGCCAATAGATACTTGGCTGTCTGGGAATTACTGCATCCTAGGCACAGCCATTGAAGAAGGTCGCAGGATGACCAAAACATTGGCAAGTGTGCCTACAACACAACTCCCAGCCAGCCAAGTATCTACTATTATTGAGGTGGAACCAATTATAAGTTGTATAATTTGTATGCTTAATTACAAAATGAGTTTATTTGTTTTCTTATAATGTGTTAAATTAAATGATAATTTTATTAGTTGAAATAATTACGATTTTTCTCTCATTATTTGGTTAAGTGAGTAACGTACTTGAAATATTTTTTATCACAAATTTCATTATCTTTGTAAGTCATTGATACATAATAAATATATTTGAAGTTCTACAATCTTGAAAACCACATACAGGTATAAGATTAACAAAATCTGGCCCAATATTTTTTTTTTTTTCCCCCTTTCTTTCTTCTTCCCCAATGTTAATTATTGTAATTCCACTCTTGATACTCTTTGTTAAATATTTGAACCTAAAAACACATATCCTCCTCACCCTCAACAAAAATAATCAGATCATTGGTGAAGAGCTCATTATCTTCAATTTAAACGCCCATGGTATATCATGTGCATTTCCATATTCTATTTCAGGTTTTAACAATTAAATAAACACTGATACTAGCTTCACAGAATATTGTTTTTAATTATAGTTTTTTCTTCCATTTCCTTCCACAGATCAACATATAGCACAAACTATTCAGTATGATTTAGTTTTGACCTATCAAGCATTTCTTGCTGATGTGCATATGGACTGTAAATGGAATTTAAAACTTGCTGAAGCACCTATTAAGGTAGTCTAATGGTGTTAATCTCACATGCTGAACTACAAAAATAATTTGAAATGTACAATTAGTATTCCACTAATTCCACAATTACACTAATTTGTATTTTTATTTCAGTTTGAGACACCAGTGTATGGCTCAATTCGGCCAGTGTTTACAGATTTTGCATGTCCTGGAACAATATTAATGTAAGTTTTCATTTTCATTATTCTTTTCATTTGAATTGTTTACTTCCAATAGTGGAATCAAAAGGTTCTTTGAGACTATTGAATATCTCAATTGATAGCTTGTATTGAGAGATATATTAGGAAGCATTTGATTGTAAAATTCAGTCTTGCAAGTTTCTAAACGCTACTTATCTTTAGCTCAATTATATTAATAACAATTTCCTAAGCAAATATATAAAAATTAAAAGAAATTTAGTCATGTAAATTGAATCATTACATTGCCTATTGACTGGTACTGTTTTAAAAAAATAATCAAACTATATAATGTCATACATTTTAAAATTATAAATTGAATATTTAATAATCAATATTTTCATATAATTTTAAAATAAATAAAATGTGAAGTAGTTGGATGGAAGGTGAATCCATTTCTACAGGTGTCTCAGAATAAATGTTATGAACTAGGGCATATGGAGGAGTTGAATATGATGACTTTCTCCCAAGGAACTTTGAGTGGAAATTTCATATATTGGTGTTGAACACATCAATGTTAGGAAACCCCATATGTACAGATGTTCAGCAGATATGTGAAATCTACTTGCCCATATCAGCACATGACCTACCAAACACCTGTATCTAAAGTTTTTCTGAGAATCAGAAATGTGTGCAAAAGAAACAAATGCCATATGTGGAAGTCCATTGTATGAAATTTTTCACTATATGTTCATTGGCAAAAAGTTATCATTTTCAACCCCTCTGATTATGCTACAAGTATGTAACATTTATTCAATTTATTACCACCGTATTTCATTAGTTCCTTGGCAAAAACCATGCATTCTTGGACTTTTCCTGTTCTGAGCTTTTATTAGAACCTTTCCAAGCTGTCTTTTATTTCTTTTCAAGTTTGTCATGTCCACATCCAGAATGTTCCATAATGTTTTATAGTTCTCTATCTATTTCTCCTCAGAAATGAGATCTGTGCAAATGTTGTTGTTCCTTGTGTCAGCTCTGAGCATTCTTATTGTTTTATAACTTATCCTTTGGGGACCAGCGATGCCTATCCCCAGAGGTGGGATTCTGGGGGGGGACTGCCACCTCAATCTTGGGACAAATATTTAAAAGTTATATTTAGACATTTCATTCCACATATCTTCAAATTTATAAAAAGATTTACTTCTTTCTGTATTTTGGGAAGAAATATAATAATAATTAAGGGAACAATAATTTTATTATCCAGAATGAATAACTTACTAAATAACTAACTCACTACATAATTACTTAGTGAATAAATTGGTGAACTTAGTTCAGTATTATAAAAAGCACAGGATAATGTTCAGCACTACTGTGAATATCCCTTATTAATAAATCCTCTTTCAATTATATTTTGCTTTTAAACATTATTTACTTAGAAATTAAAGTTTCGTGCCTAAAATCATGAGTCATAACACTCAAATATTAACTCTCAAAAATAAAAAGTATTTCCCATTTATTATAGATATAGATAAAGGTAAAGGTGGTAATATAAGCCATTTATGTAATATGAGCCCCCTTGGTATCTTTTCATACATTGCAAACATTCTAGCAGGAAAGATTTTAGCAACTAGTTTAATAACTCCTATTGCCAAGTGAGAGCGTAGGCTTCCGCGGCCGGAGTCAGTATTTACTAGGCTGTCCGGGTGACGTTGTTTGGCGAAGGTTTGTGGTTTGGCGAATGGCGAAGGTGCCTCAGGGCATTACGCCCTGAGGAAGGTCGCAGAATGGCGACCGAAATGTCGGCATCTTCGCCATGGACACGGTGTCACCCGGACAGCCAAGTAAATACTCCTATTGCCGTCATAACTCTGAAGTTCAGTTGTAAAAGAGAACTGATGTGAAGCAGGTGTTCGTCTGCCCAAAGTACATTTTTTTTTAATTTTCTCAATTTTTCAGTTTCCTTATAGTGGAACCAAAGTATTACTTTAAGAATATTAAACAAGAGTAAAACCCTGTCCTAAATGACAATTTTCATTAAAAAATTTGGAGCTTTAAGAAAATGCCATTTAAGTTTTAATGAAAATGGGAAATTTAAAACTCTTTTTCATAAAAATCTTTTGAAAAATTCCAAACTTTTTGTATGGATAGTGCTAAATGCACTGTTTAATATGATGTAAAGTTGATTTTGGGATTTTCTTTTGTGTTAATAATTGTTACACAAATGAAATTTTTTGAAATATCTCTCATGCCGTTAATAAGCACATTTCCAGCAATTTGTAAACACTATTGCATTTCAAAGTTAAGGTGATTTAAATGACTCTCAATGAAATTTTTTGAAAACTCAAAACAACTGTGTTCTCTTCAAATTTCGCATTTACAAAAATGCTTCAATGCCATTTTCTTATAAACGATTCTGCATTTTTCAATGAAAATTGCCATTTAGGATGAGGATTTACTCTTCTTTAATATTCTTAAAGTAATACTTTGGTTCTACTATTAGGAAACCGAAAATTTGAGAAAAGTTCAACAAAAATTTACTTGGGGCAGCAACAGAAGGCAGCTGGCAAGAGTATGTGGCAAGTCCGAATAGGTAACTCAGCCCAAAGAAAATAGAAAACCAATACAAGAAAGTCTGTGCCATTCAGTAGCACCACTAAGTTTTTCAAACATGAATGTGGGAGCTCACAATATAACCTTCTCCTCTACAAATAAAAATTTAAATACTTTCATTCCTGAAAAAAAACAACAATAGATTGCATTTTAATTAAAAGAAGTAATGTAAATTTTATTAATGTACATTTTTTTAAAAAAATACAGATCCTTAACAATTTTTGTTTTTGTAGCCAGTTTTGGTATTTTGCAGCCAATGGTACCTCTAGCTGTTTCTTATTTCTAGCTTGTTGAGATGGTTTTGTACAGATGTCTGATGCTATTGTGTTCTAGTAGATAAGTGTTCGCCTTTGGCAATGATTTCATTTTTTATTTCTTGAAAAATTAATTTAAGTTTAGTTTCTCCTAAATAATAGTATGTATCCAGTTCACTTCTTCTAAAGACTTTTGTGTTCTTTACTTCATCAAATAATTCACTTTGACATAATCTATTATGGATTTTATTCCTTTAGCTGTAAATTTGTGTTCCACACGCTTGAATAAGGAATTTCTCAAGTTGTTACATTCACAGAAATCGTTATTAATCTTCCATAATTGTTAATTACTGCTTCTCTTTCTCCTCCATCAGTTCTATATATTTCTTTAACTCTACTATTCTAGCATTTTGGTCACCAGCAAATAAAAAATGTTATTTTCTATCACATCCATTCAATGTTGCTAGTAGATGATGTAGAAAGTGGAATTCTATATTTCCTTTGCATTCCCATCCCACCCTATAAATATAGTAAAACGAGGAGCAGAAGTACCAACAAAGCAAGCTTAGCAACATTTGAACTGATTTTATAGTATTGCTAATAAAGTACCAACCCACTCTCCAAGTTCTACACCTACTGCAACCAGCAAAAGATGATCTTAACAAAACCTGCAGACAGTGAAGCTACATTTATATCCAGAAGCATAACATCTCAGCATTTGCTCCAAGAATTAGGGAAACTGGATGAAAAACCTAATTGATATGAATATCAGTGACCCAGAACTTGATGTAAAGAATACAGTAATTTCCTTTCCATGATGTTAAGCTATGGTGTTGTTATCATGTGTAGAGATAAGGATTTGTAATCATCAATGTAATTAATTAAAAACCCTTACTTGACATTAAATAAAACATGGAGTAAAAATGCAAATGGTGTAGTATGCAAATACTTTGCAAAAACAGAATATTTGCCATCTAAAACTAATGTCTAACATTCAAATCAATAATTACAGGAGAAAGTTTTTCAGAGCGGTGTATTATATGTTTGGAAGATGAATATTTCATTTTTAAATGAACATGTTTGATGATTGAAAAAAGAGAAATACATTCTAGACTTAACACATTTTTTTCATTTTCATTAGGATTATCTACTTTTTGGCAGTAACTCTCACAGCTGGGGTGATATTGACAGAAAAAACTGAAGGATTGCTGGATCGAGCACTCATGACAGGTATGATTCATTCAACATATGTATGGAAGATCCATCGCTATTTTCTTTCTTCTTTCTCAACATAGTAAAGAAAGTTGTAATTTCAGAGAAATTGAAAAACACTGCTTGTCCAGGATAAATTGAGTTTCTCTATGGTATTTCAGAGTGTTAACTGAACAGCTTAATTTAAAAATTTTTGGACAAATGCTTTTGTTAAAGAATATCTAGTGAAAACTGATCAAATGGTGGGCTATTCTCAGTTGACACTTGCTACAAGATTGAAAAATTATTAGCAAACATTACAAGTTTCTAGTCTCAATGATATTGCTAAAAGAAAAATAAAAGAACAACAGAAAATATTTTCTGTTGTTCTTTTATGGCTATGCCATAATACCCACCAAATACAAGCAAACAATTCAACTTCCATTGACTTCAATCCAAGACCATTTATTTTTATTGAGGAAAGCAGAGAAAAATATTTTTACAAATAAGGCTTTTGGGCATAAGGAATCAATTAAATTATACTTTTCCGTTTATGTTATTAAAAGAGGTAAAAATGAAATAAAACATCTGCATCTACATACAATAAAGAACTGGATTATAAAGTTGTTCCTAATGTTATTAACTCTGGGAAATGAGTACTATCACTTTTTTCCAATAAAAGGACATTCTCATGTAACTAAAGGAAGAAATTTTAGTGAGTCAAAAAGAACGTCAAAGAAATTTTGTAGTAGGCTTTCCATTGCTCCAGTGAAGAAGAACTAGGAAAAAAGAAATATTTCAGAAACACTTATATAATTCAACAAAAAACTGAAGGAATGTAGAAGCTAAAATGGAATTTGTTTTGTTTTTAGTGATGAAAATTTGGCATGCCAAAAGAAAAAGTTGTGCCTTGACACCTTTGCCTAAGTATTTCCATACGCTGAATCCAAAATTGTTATCACCCTCCAATTTTTTTTATCACAAAAAACCATTGTCACGTATTTTTTGTTTCTGGGTGTAGTTGTGAGACCCAAAGATTTGATACGTTTCTCTATATATGTTAACACTCTGAATCCTAATCTGAAGCCAGAATTCAGCTTTTTTAACACCCCAAAAAACAATTATGAAATTGAATTTTTGTTTTCGGGGGTTGTTCTCAGACTCAAAAACATGAAACATGTTTCTTTATGTATATCGACGAGCTGAATTTGAAACTGAAGCCAGAATTGCATCACCACCCTCCAATCTACAATTTCATGGCGGTTTTTCATGATTTAAAAGATATTGGAAGATGGAGGCACAATTCTGGCTTCAGATTCAGCATATTGAAATACATATAGAAACGTGTCAAGTCTGACAATTTTTTTTTTAAGTGCGCCTGTGTTATAGCTATTTCATTACATGATGAGTAGAAGTTATTTTCTTTGCATTGTTTTCCAAATGATAAAAATATTACAATTAGCTTTTCATTATTATATGATGCATTTGAGAAAACCTTAATGTTAATGAACTTAAAAATAATTTATTTTTAAATTTAAAAGTTTCATCTATTTCATAGACTTGAAATGAAAATACAGAAATAATCAGCCAACTTTTATGACCAAAAAACAAAAGTGCTTTTTGTGTCTCAAGAAAAATGTTCTTTTACTGACATGAAAGGATCTCAATTTCTTGATTCATGTACAACTCAGTTTGGTTTTACTAGACATTGAAGGAAGGGAGACAGTCAGATAACAAATCAACACGATGGGGCTATTGGATCTGTGTCAGTTGGTAATAGCTTTTAGATGAGTGTTCTTATAGTAGTTGCATTTGCCAACATGTGTCAAGTGGAATTGTTATGGAGATTTAAGGAAAGAATTGTAACACAGTTTAAAGATATTCATCATTCATTCATTTTAAGGCAGAATGTATACTATATTTCCATTTCCAATTTGAAATAACTTGGCATGTCTTAAGCCTTCCTTCAAAATACATGGTCAGAGACATTCAGAACCCCTTAATAAGTATTTAAGCAACATTTCCTTATGACTCCTCAGAATTCTATACTTCAATTTGGGTCATCTCCAACAGCAATTAAGTGTACAGTAGCAGGTGACACCCATGTTTGATGTCTAGCATTTGAGAATTCATCGCTGGGAATTTTGAACTGATCTTTGTAACACTACATACAATACAATAAATTGAAAAAGATGTGACTGTAAAGCTTTCTTTTACTGCCATATTTATTAAATTCAGAGGAGAAACTAGAAAGCAGACTTTGGAAACTATTAGAAGTTTTATAATTTACACTTGTCATTCACACAGATTTTGGGCCATCCATTAGTTTCTAACATACATTAAATAGCCAATATTTTCTAACATTTATCAGAACATAAGGAGTTGAACAATTTAAAGGAGAAACTGATGAGATGCATGCTCATGTTTGTGTATATTTTTATTTCAGGATTGCTGGTGCCAGAAATACTTGTTTCCCATGTAGTCACACAATTTGCAGTCATATGTGGCCAAACATCTCTTGTTCTCCTGTTTTCTTTCGCTGTGTTCAATATTCCACATCATGGGCCTATGTTTGCAGTTATTGTGCTAACATTACTGCAAGGACTTTCTGGAATGTGTTTTGGTATGTATTTTGGAATTATACATGATGCACTTTTGAAGGAAAATCAGAAGACAAAAAAATGTTTTCCATTTTCTTTCCCTTTCCATTGTTCCTTTTCTTCTCTCATAAATAATCATGTTAAGTGTGTATGTATGATATACATACATACACACACTTCACATGATTATTTGTGTGTTTATGTTTGCATGCGTGTGTGCGTGTGTATGTGTCTGTGGGTGCATTGGTTGTATGTGTTTGAAAATGTCTCAACATTTCTTTTCCACTGTTAGCTCCTGTGCTATTCTTCAAGTTTGTAGTATACAGAACTAATTTTCAGAATAAATGTCATTTTTAAATGTTCAGCACATGCTTACAGTTTTAGTTAACTTACTTTTTTTATTGTTTTGGATTAATTTCAGGTTTATTAATATCATCGGCTTGTGATAACATCATGATGGCTACATATTTGGGCATGGGCAGTTTCCACCCGCTAGTAATTCTCTCTGGTGAGTAACAGTTTTAAAAATTAAATACATGATGAAAAATCATATAATTTTACTTTTGAAGGGGAAAAATATCAATAGCAAATATTGCATGATTTTACCTTCTGCTTATTGTAACGAGAAATTTATTTCAAGATGTCTCTCGATTAAGGCACTGAAATATACACTATTCTTTGATGTAAACCTTTAAGAAACTTACTTCAAATATCAATTCTGACACACTGAAATGAATTTTTAAATACTTTTGACAGGAGTGATTTGGCCAATTGAAGGAATGCATAGTATCCTTCGATACATAAGTTACTGCCTTCCACTCACATATCCCACAGAATCTCTAAGATGCCTTCTTCTACGAGGATGGGGAGTGGATTCACCTACGGTGTATGGTGGATTCCTCGTCTCGGTAGCATGGATAACTATATATGTAATAACAACACTTGTAATATTACGATTCAAGAAACTTTAACAAATCAATGGCCTGTACAGTGTATTAATTTATGGAGATATAACCATGTGAATTGTAAATGGTATTTTAAATTATTCTTTTTTGTACTTATCCACATGCATTCATTATTTCTGAGTATATGTTGTTCCTGTAATGGATGTACTGTAGGAAATATATTTTCATATTGCATTTTGCATGTAGTTAAGTAAGAACATCTGCCAAAGATGTGTTTACACAACCCAAGATGTAGAAGTGCTGCTGTTAGTACAAGTATAGTTTAGTATGAAATACACTATCATTTTACTGTAAGCCATTGTCACATCTATTCCAGTGGGAAAAACAAAAACTCATACAAGTTATGTTACATTATTCTGAAGGTACAGAAAATTGTCTGTGCACAAAGATGCACCGGTATATGATACAAAAAACATTCCTCCATAGACAATTATAGATCGTAGAAAAGAAAAAATTGTTTGCCTTTAAATTTTATTTATGCAAACTATGCCAATTTGTAATGCATAAAACTTTTTATTAATTAAAACAAAATTCAGAGCAATCTTGTAGTTCTATACATAGTTATTACTGCAACAAATATGGAGATTAGAGTAGTGTTGTGATAAATAGGTTCAATATAAAAGCTGTATTCATGATTATGGATAAAGACCAATGTTACTTTACTCATTACGCATGAAACTTGAAGTTAGTTCTATGGTACAGTTTCATTTTAGATTCAAAATGGAGAATACGCATGTTTTAAAGGCATTTTGTGTAATTATTAATGCATAAAACTTTTTTATTCTCCAGAATGTCAATAACTTGTTAATTTGGAATATTAATTAAAAATGTTTTGTACATATTATGTAAATTGAAAATAAATTACAATTGAATTGACACTCCAACATTAAAATTTTGAATTCAATATTTGTAGTTAACTGGTTTCTTAATTGTGAATTTTACACACAGATCATACATCTTGTAGTGCATGTGAAGATCAATCAGTATCATCAATTTCATCACTTCGCATGACAATCAAAACCTCATCTACATACCATTTGCAAAAACAAGGTCTATTGATAAATAAAATTGTTTTATCAATTGACCTGACAGCTCAGAAAACAAAGGTAATGGGAACGCCAAGGGGTGTACCAGTCAACATTCTTTAAATAACGTCCAAGGTAAATTTAATATTATTAAGTTAACAATCGACACCAATTAGAATTTAATTAACAGGAAATGAAAATTTGGTACTTTCAAAACATACTTTTTCAAGGATTCCAGTTTAAGATGGTGAGGATGCTAGAAAACATTTCAACCATATGAAGTAAATTTCAAAACCAGGTTATACTGCAAATTCTAGTTTCTTCTAAGCCATTATGACAATCTTTATTAATCTTTAAGAGTGGTTTCAATATACTATTAAAAAAATTACATTAATTAAACTTTGCAGTGCCAATTACCAACACCACTGATCTAACAGAAAAATTGTTAGTAATGATAGAAGTTCAAATAAATTTTTCTTTTACAGAATAACTGCTTTTTCCTCATCTATAAATAAAGAATACTTATCACAATAATAACAATATTTCCTGATATTAAGTCATTAAATTTGTATAATCTTGACTTGATACTGGTCTATGTCTACTGAATAATGTAATTCTGAACCCTTCTGCACAGAGCAAGGTTGGATGCAGAGGCTTTCCGTTGCAGGTGTAGTGAAAAGCACTGTGCATCATCTTAGGTAGCCAGCTCAGCATACCAATACATCAAAAATCAGTTATCGCCAAGATACAGAGTGAATTTCAAAGCATGTTACCCTTGAATAAAAGGAAAAGGAACAGGTCATCTCAAGGTGGCTTCCACACTAAAGTAAACACAAATGCTTAATCACCAAAGAGCAGGAGCGTGCAAATGTGCAGGAATACATAGTCACCACAATTAACACAAAATGACTGAACATACTGACATCAACGGTGTATCAAATTGTTTGATTTCATGAAATTGGTTACTGTAACATAACATTTTATTTTTCACAGAATCATTGGTGACTAGTTGTATTTTACAATTACGAGACAATTTCATTTTCAATGCAAGTTTTATAAAATAATCTGACATACCCACAACAAAATTTGACCATCATCACAGATTTATATGGTGGTCTATTATGCATGTAAATATGAAGGGCATGTAAATATGAAGAGAATTGGCACACACATTAATGTGCGCATCAACTATTTGGACTCCTCACTTCCCTGAAACTATTAAGCGAATTGAAAGCTGTAAAATATTTTTTTATTATGAAGCATGTGAATTTAATTAGGCTACTGAAATGCATATCTACAAAGAAATTGCAACATTTACCTGTCTAAGTACTATGGGATATCAAAGAACACAATGATTTACAAATGATTTATTGGCGGATGTTTCTGGGCACATTAACTACTATAGTCATTGGCCTAGTTAGTGCAATGAATATTTCATCATGAGAGTATTATTTCTCCTAGCTGGAGGTTAATATCAGACAGTGACCCAAATGTCGACACCAGGTATATACCCCATTGGGGCACCACTCCAGCGAGAAACAAGTTCAGTTACATTAATTCTAACATTGTTCTATTTATAACCAACTACTGGCATTGAACGTGAAGTAGAGTAATTCTCCTTTAACTTGGTCAATCATCACCAGCCATAGTCAGTCATTACCTTTTATCCCTATCTAAACTCCTCACTGATCTCCCAACATTGTGTGTGTGTGTGTGTGTGTGTGTGTGTGTGTGTGCGCGCGCACACGTGCGTGCATGCATGCATGTGTGAGGCAAGAGGAAAGGACAAGGAAGATAACACAAAGATTGCCCACAGTCTGTTAGCGTACTGCTCCAGAATTCACGTAGTATTAATTAGAGAAACAACAAAAAACTATCAATCAGAGCAGCCTGCCACAAGAATTTTCCCGCAGAAAGCGGCTAAATTTGACCTAACAATAATGATACTTGTACAAAAACTACTATGTATTTGCATGTTCACATCAGTAGTCTAAATTTGTATCCAATTCGTCTGAATATTCTCTATGAACAGTTAATCGTATTTACAATCCAAATCGCATAACTAATTATGGTTTCTACCCATCAATTTTAAAACTGACAATAATAATTGTCCCCCATTGACCACACCATCAATCAATATCTTCAATCAACTATCAAAATTAGAATTTTTACATCAATTTTAAATGGAGTGAATATGAATTATGTAATTATGATTTATTTTCACTTTTAGGATTGTTTTTGTATGTAAATAAATAGCATGTTAATTATCTCAACAACTGAAAGCTGTGAAATAAGTGTTTGCAGGTTGCTGTCATAAAATATGAAATAATATATAATAACACTTTAGAGCATTTTTGCATAACACTCATCAAGATGATAACCCTATAAAAAAACAGATTTTCCTGCATTTAAAAATACTTTTTACAATAATATACTTTATTTTATCACAATTTAATGATTACTTCTCAATATATTATGTACATTATTTGAATGATATGATTTCAGAGAAGTATATAAATCCATTACACTTTGAATAGTAGCACATCCAAATAATGCTTAATTCTTTTCCGTGTCACTTTGAACATTTGCACTATTCATGCCATCACCTTCCGAGTAATAGCACACAACTGCTCCACCTCTTCCCTGAGAAGGTACCTCTTCTGTTTCCATTACTTCTCTATGAACAACATCTCCTGTCTTATCAATTTCATCTATAGAAATGACCACTGTTTTTCTTCCTCTACCATTTCTTTTGCCACCAGCAGTCTCTGTGCGAGTTATTTGTCGAACGCTATAATGACTGCCACAAACTTCTGATAGGCTAGCGGGATGTTCATCCATCTCAGCCTGAAGAATTTCCTGCGTGACTTCCAAAGTTTCTAATCGGAAAGGTTTCAGTCGAAAATAACCATCTTCATTTCGTGTGTAACTGAAACCAAAAATAATGATTTCACTCATTTTTAATTTCCTATTCCTCCACAAATCAGAAAGAAAAATATTTTCAAGAAAACTTACGTAAATCTAGAATGACCAGATGACCACTGGAAGTTGTGGTACTTAAATAAATGTCTAGTCAACTTATATCCATTGAAGAAACGATCATTGCATATATGACAACAGTATAAAGGCTTAGACCCACCGTAATGTACCTGAAAGAACAGTGAAAATTCAATACTTATTTTGTTACTATACTTTATCAAATTTAAAACTAAAATTGAAACATCTCATATCATTACAGATTATAATATACCCAAGACGTCATTTCAATTGAGAGACAGTTTTTAAATAAATACAATCTGTACAGACCAGATGGCCTGTAGAGTAGAACATATAACTTCTACTCAGATAACATGAATTCATTAAGACTCCATTCTTCTCTTCATCTTACTTACACACTTGAAATTAGAAAACTTAATCTTGTTACCTTGAAAAATTAAATACCTAAAAGGTGTTTTTTCCTCCACAAGTTTAAAATATCAAGATTTGATACAGTATTTCCTTAAAGTGGTTGGAGCGAGATATTCCCTAGTAGATAGAGAGTCCATATTACATTCAAAAATAATTATTTGCGAGATGAGTGGGTATTGTGAGATCTACATAAACCAAATAGGAACTTTTATGCTGAGTTTTATTTAATTATTCGAATTAATTTAGTTTAATATAGGTAAAATAAAAATTTTAATACCACAAAGAGCTACTGTTGACTACTTTCTTAACTAGTAGAAACAGATCGTGAAAAATTGAAGCATTAGATTGAACAAAAAAGCACTATTTCACAATTAGTAGGAGCAAAATCATAAAAAGTTACATTACAGATACATATCTATATATTTTTGTACAGTGAGTGCTAACAATGGCAAAAATTTCCACGTTTGAGGGAAGCAAAAAGTCTTCAGTTAATTGGGCAACGCCATACTGTCCTTAAGATTGGCATGACTGCTCAGGGCACATGCTTCTTCAAAGTTTCGTTGTTTTGAATCACTTTAAATACTGTTCATTGCCTGGTCGACACGCGGTAAATATCACAATCCCAGCGAATTGGAGGAAGGTTTATTTCCATAATAAAAAAGAGAATATGAATAATTTTTTTAATAATGGAATAAATAATCATTGTTCAAGAGCAAAAAACTGATATACGGCACAATACAAAATAATAATTTTAAAAAATTCTATAAACCCTCAAGATCACCCATTTTCTCATAGGGAGTAGTTTCAATGTGTCAGTGTCACGTGCGGTGTGCAGTGTCATGTCAGTGTGTGTCCAGTGTGAGTGTGTGTCAGTGTGTGCGTGTCAGTGTGTTGCGTGTCAGTGTGTGCGTGTTCAGTGTGTGCGTGTCAGTGTCAGTGTCTGCGTGTCAGTGTCAGTCTGCTGTCAGTCAGTGTCTGCGTGTCGTCAAGTGTGTGTCTCGCAGTGTTCGTCAGTGTGTGTTCTGCGTGTCGTCAGTGTGTGTCTGCTGTCCTCAGTGTGTGTCTGCTGTCTCAGTGTGTCTTGCGTGCGTCAGTGTGTGTCTGCGTGTCGTCAGTGTGTGCTTGCGTGTCCGTCAGTGTGTGTCTCGTTCGCGTTGGTGTCCGTCAGTGTGTGTCTGCGTGTCCTCAGGCTGTGTCTGGTGTCCGTCAATGTGTGTCTGCGTGTCCGTCAGGTGTGTGCTCCGTGTCCTGTTCAGTGTGTGTCTGCGTGTCCGTCAGTGTGTGTCTGCGGTGTCCGTCAGTGTGTGTTTGCGTGTCGTCAGTTGTTGTGTGCGTGTCCGTCAGTGTGTGTTTGCGTGTCCGTCAGTTGGTGTTTTGCGTGTCCTTCAGTGTGTGTTTGCGTGTCCGTCAGTGTGTGTTTGCGTGTCTTGTCCGTGTGGTTGTCTGTCGTGTGTTGCGTGTCTGTCAGTGTGTGTTTGCGGTCTGTCAGTGTGTGTTTGCGGTCCTGTCAGTCAGCGCGTGTCTGTGCTCGTGCTAATAATTAATTTTATAAAAATCAATTTTTTGAGTGTAATGATGGATAATGATGTATGGATATATGTTAATCTTCATCACAATAAAACTCTTGTCTCTCATTTTTTAGAAAAATACTCCTATATTATTCAAAATATAGTATGCATTTTAATAAGGATGGGTATTGAAAATTATGAAAGATACGATAACTATGATTACATAAATATTAACACTTACATCTTGCACATGTTTGTTGATAGTTGCCGATGTCCGGCAAGAATATCCACAAGTTTCAAAAGGGCACTCAAAATTAGCTTCAGATGAGTGAACACGCAAGTGAGACTCCAAATCCCTCCGAGTCTTCACCCTTTAATCATACAAAACTTACTTGTAAAGAACATTATATTCAAAATACACTGTGGAATAGGATTTTCACAAAAATTTGAATATTATATAACGCACAAATTTAAATAGTGTAGCGGGCTACAGTGATATAGGTAGGCAATTCCGATATCTGTTTTAGACTTCATTACAAATCAACAATTAGCATAAGAGAATCATATTCTTGGAAGCTCTGATGAACATATTCAATGAAAAAATGACAAACACAATAATGGAATGCAAAATTAGATTTATTCTTTACAACTGGTAGATGTAAACTAAATTCACCCTGGTAAAGATTCCAGTTGTCTGTCAAAACCTGCTTTGATAGCACATTTATATTTTTGAAAAACTGATGAACAGCAGGCAGAAAGCAATAACTGTAGCAATAACTGTTTTGGTAAAGCTATGGAACAGAGCTAATCAACATGGTGGGCATGGGTGCCATAGTATGTGCAGCTGCCATGGCTCCCATGTATTTGTGAAATCTATTTTGCCTAAGTAGAAGGAAAATGCTCGAATAATTCAGCTGTCTTCTGGTTGAGATCAAAAGCTTTTAAAAATAAGCTCCAGGTCACATCAGATGCTTAATAAAATATCGTAGCTACCTGATTTAACTTTCTTGTCAGATAACACCACAAAATTAAATGAATTACAAGAGATAGATCGGAAGAAAGAAAAGTGATAATAATTGTAAGGTCAAATATTATTCAAAAGGGAAATAAACATTTATTAAAAAACACTCATGGCATTACCAATGAGATTGAAATTTGATACCAATTTAGATCTGTGCGACATTTATTTTTACTTACATGTAGGTTTTTCTGTTTGTTATCACATTTTGTATAAACTACCACAAGTAATAATGTTAAAGCACAGAAATATTAGGAGATTTTAAAGTAAGTCACCCACTTCTACAGTATTAAACTAAACTGAAAATCCACACTTACGCAAAATTACAAAAATTGCACTTAAAAGGTTTGGAATTCAGGTGTCTAAATCTTATATGCAGGCTTAAAGATGATGGAGATGAGCACGTCATATCACAAAATGAACATTTGATGTGACTCACATGGCGTCGCATGTGATCACGAAGTAAACGTTCTGATGGATAATACTTGAAACACGAGGTACACCTGAATTCTATTTTAGCTGCAAAAAAGACATTTACACAAGTTAGCATAAAAATCATTACAAGAGAAATATATTATTTATTAATTGATTGCTTATAATAATAAAAGTATATTAAAGAACTTACGATCAGCTTGTGTCATACAGTGATCATGGAGTTTTGTAGCAGATGCAAAAAGTCCTCCACATGTAGGACAAGCTGCGAGTTTCTCCTGAGTGTGAACTTTCACGTGTTCCGCTAGTTTGCAGAGACTATAAAATTTCCCAGAACATCCTGTCATAATTCCAGAAAAATTTCAATGAGATACCAAAAGAAAAACTTGTTTAATAATTATCAAAGCTGAGAGTTCCTTTCATTCATTTGAGAAAGGTTGATACAATGTTTGAAATAATAAAACAAACTATAAGCACAAATAAACTCACTTCAGCCACTGAGATTATTAGAATTGTTCAGATTCTTAGAAATTAATATCAGAAAATGTCATATCCATGTATATTTATTTATTTATTCATTCATTTATTTACTGAATGGACATTAATATGTTCAATTTACAAATATACTATAGAAATACAAGAATTATTTATAATAAAAATAAAATTTGTAAGAAAAATTATTTACAAGTATAACATAGTGACTAAATATTTAAAAAATTTAAATATTTTACAAATATATAATTATTTATATATCTCACACAAGTTATCAACTTGCTCATACTAAGATATAAAATATCTAGATTTTGATTATTTACAATTTTAAAGTTCTAAAGAAAAAAACATTTTATGAAAAGTTTAGAATAATTATACAAGAAAATAGGTTCAATATCTCTAGTAGACCTAATAGGGACACAAAAAAGCAATTTACTAAGTAATAATGGCCAATCTATGGTACCATGTAATAATTTATGTAGGAAAACTATGTCACAGTACGTCCTGCATGATTTAAGAGTTTGAATACCTGACATTTCCGAGATTCTTGCATAATTATGATTTCGAATTAGGTCAGTGCAGCCAAGTACTGGGCAGAGAAATTGAAAACTTCTATGCTGTACTCTTTTAAGCCTATTGATGTGAAAATAAAAAAGAGCAACCAAACCGTAGAAGCAAAAAGGAGGTGAGATCGAACTAATGAATAATACCAAGTACTTAAGGATACACCACTTTGGATCACCCTACATTCTCTTAATCAGTCTAAGTTGATGTAGAGATTTATTTACAATCATATCAATATGCATATTAAAATTCATTTTAGAGTCATAAAACACCAAAATCCTTTATTGAGAAAACTAGTTTAAGGTATATATCATTATTTTAATAAGAAGTGTCAATGACATTTCTAACTCTGGAGAAAGTTAGAATTTGCATTTTTTAGGATCGAGATATAATTCATTTGATAAACACCCTTGATAGATAGCTGATATAACATATTGTAGAACTTTAATATCTTCGGTGGATTTTATACTTCTAAATAGTTTTAAATCATCAACAAATATAAGAAATTCAACACTCCCCAGAAGTGAGCAAATACCATTGACAAATACAATGTGGAATGGAACTTCCAACAGTGCAAGAGACATTGAAGGGTAGCAAGACTGCATTACCATACTTAGAGACAGTGGACAATGCAGAATCAAGTTGAGAGCACAAACTCTGGGGTAGGATCGAGAGAAATTACTAAAGATAAATGTACGAAGCAAACAAGTGAAAATAACTGCTTTTTAAGGACAAATAAAGGTATTGAAATTTTCAGTTTGTGCTGATAATGTATTCTGTATTAATAAAATCAATCATGGAGAAATTCTATTTCATTTTGACACCATATAAAGTGAACTAAAATTGTTAGTCCCCAGAAGTTTAGTACATCCTGAGTCTACGGTATCTCTAAGATGAGTATGGAAAAATGAACTATACCAAAAGAATATAATGCATGTTAATTTTAAAAAGTTTACAATATTTCGATTCAAAATAAATCAGTTGGAAAAATGCGACAGGATTTATTGCCCCCACTTCTTCCATTTTCAAATGGACCTGACTCCCAATTATATTGGTTCAACTGTTATCATCACATGCAAAAAACCATCAACAAAACAAAAAATATAGCGTTCAATGAAATTATTGTAGTATAAAGCACAAGGTAATTATTACAATTTTAAAGTGGCAATAAGTTCATATAGTTGTGCACAAAAGTCCAAAACACATCAGAAAATAACCATTACACAACAATTTTACACTTTCAAATAAGTTGCTCCAGATGTGAAACACTAAGAATTCTTGCATGTGGGTGTATGTTATTCTCCCCAGACAACGGTACTGGTTTTGTTTGCATGTGTATACCTGACATAATATAATGAGGCATGTTACTGAAAGACTCGCAAACCAATTTTTGTCAATTTCAACAATGAGGGAGCGGTCTAAACTATGCTTTTGCAAGGAATTCAAAATCGCCATCAGTTTTTTTGCTGTTAGGATATCATTTAACTTAATAAATCTTGGTTTATTTCACAATATTAACTAAATACTCTTAAAGATAATTACAGATGACTAATCTTGAACATATAAAAGTTGAAATAAAGGAACCTCTTTCTCTTGCCAAAATATATTTTATAAAATATATATTATATATAATATATATAAAAATATATTAATATAAAATAATGGCTTCCTTAATTTCTAGTTTTCCCTTTCTGAAAGAGAGAGAGAGAGATGTTATGTGACAGCTGGTGGGTAGTTTACATCAAAAAATCTTTAAAACTTTATTTCTATTAGGTACAGATTAGAAGTTCAGTAATATGTAGCAACGCAAGGAAGTAGTACTAATTTATTCCAGTAAATAGTGTTATATGCCAAGCCAGTTGTTACTACATTCCATTACAATATCCAATCATCATATTTTCCTTCCTTCCTTTTAGAATTTTTCTGAACCAGAAACACAAAAGGCTACAATATCATTAATGTCAATGAAAAATTGATGTTTTCAATTAACAATTTACCAAGCAAAATTAAATTTGAGTAAGTTGGCAAACATATTTTCCAAAATAATACATCAAGACAACTTTTTAACACTGATTTCACAATTTCAAAATTCAATTTCAATGACATGCCCTAATAATGTAAGTTTATCAATAAATTCTATGGCAATTAGACAAGATATCTCTATGTAAACTAAACCAAGATTAAAATCGATTATGAATTAATAATGATTTGTGAATTAAACATTTTAAGGATTAACAGACCGAGTGCCAATGTTCGCTTTTACAGTGTTTGAGAATTCTGGAACCCGCCATCACTACAAGTAAAGGATTCCAATAACCAAGGCTTGATTTCTTGCTGAACATGACAGAACTGCGTTTCGGTTTCTTGGGAATAATTATTAAATTATATTATAAATATTTACCTATTTCTATTAAATTAATAATTAATTTTGGGGTGTGAATAGTTCATTTTTATATGAATTCTTGACAAAAATTATATTTGGATAGTCTAATTTAATTTACAGAGCACTATGAAACCAACAAAATATTCAAAAAAAATATTTACATACCCAGCCAGCAACAATGAATATCTCGAATTTTCTTAACATTTGACTTTCGGCCATTATAGCATGACAGATGTGAAGCAACATGGAAGAAAAACATCTGTGAATTATTGAAGACACGTGCACAGTCCTCCCACTCACATGAAAACTCCGCTGGTAAACTAGGCAGCATACTCCGTTGATCAGGATTTCCCACACATTTCTGAAATGACAATCTGCATTCATTAAACCTTATATTAAGAAAATACAAATAATTTTGTAAATATTATTTTCCTTAAGCATCCACTTAATGGCAAACTGGATTGTATTTTATCTTTAACATTTATAATTTTATAATGGTTTCATGAAAAAAGCCAGATTGTGCTGCCTCGTTAAGGCATACAGTAAGTCACCTGCATGGACAAAAGTAACAAAGACTAAACTCCCCTTCAAGAGTTGGGAGAAATGATCACAAATGCACAATAAAAAGTAGAGATCAAAGATCCGATGTAGGGAAATATTCATTTGTAAATCATAGGTTAAAAGTTGGAATGAAATCTCTGCAGCAGTCAGTCTTTTCCTGGCTCTGTTGGTGTTTTCAGAAGACAACTTAATAAGTACATGTAGAGGATGTATTTTACCGCATAGCTCAGAATCCATAACTCAAGTGAATTGTAGTGTATTATAGATAAAGTGTAGTGCAGTGGAAAGCTACCTTAATTAGTCATTGGGCATAACCAAAGAAAGATATGGTGAAGTGAAGTGAAGTGAGAGAGTGGGTGGGGAACAAATTTAGATGTTTAAAGAGTTAACTTAAAAAATCCACATTGTGTTTGTATTAAAAAAAGAAATGGTATAACTGGTTAATTTTATGTATATGTATATGCATGTTTACTAGGTGTAACTAACTGTATGTTTTTCCATATAAACGTAGGCATGTATACTATGTAGAGCAAGTGTGTGTTCGTGTTATGTCCGAAGAGAGCATTCATGTATAAGAATGTATATATATTGTGTGTGTGTATATAATGGGTCTGTGTATATTTATATAAGGGTGTATATGCTCGAAAGGATTTTATTGTAAATTGTTTTTTGATTGTAAATGTACACATCTTGTAAAACTGTAGGGATATGACTACCACCTGGCAATCAACCAAAGTTGGAGTCTTAAGTCCAGTCTCTCCCAGTTATGATGTTTTTTAATAGGTTAAAGTACTATATTCCACAACCACAGACAATAATACAGGCAATAATGAAGCAGCATAATAATGAAGGATTTTTCTATTCCAAAGCCCAAGGTGAATTTTTTCAATATTTTTTTTCTCTCCTTTCTTCTTTTCTTTAGCTTTACATAGGTTTGAAAGGACATTAGGTAAGAGGTTTGGATTCAATCCAAAAATATAAAGTTAAGATTTTAGGGGTAAAATCCATTTTGAGGCTTCCTGATACGAAAAAAATGTAGTTGTTTTTATTAATGTTTGTTTTTTTACCCATGTCTATATGAATGGATTCATGTGTTACATAAAATTCAGGCAGACTTGGGCACTTGTTTACCAATTTCAAAAGGAAGATATTATTAACAGACTTCGAAAGGAGGAGGATATTAACTTCAGTGTGTGGGCGTTTTCTTCACAAGTTTGTGGCATGGTGGCTACTGCATTACTCCATGTATTGAATCCTTAACTGCCAAAATCATTCATCATCATTCCCTGACCTGTAAATTAGAGATAAATGCTGAGATGGGAGTATGGGCTTCTTTGAAGTGGTTTAACAGGCTATAGAGAGCCAGCAGGCATACCAAGATGACCTCTAAATAAAGTGGTACAATCCACAATGTTCCAGCAGTGTGATCCTTACATACTGCCTTCAATGTTATTTTGTAGGTGGTGTAAGGTATTGTGCATAAGACAGAAAGGCAGCTTCTTATTATTTTTGTGAACTTATTACTTAGAGTTGCTTATTGCATCCTAGCTTCCATTTGTTATGATCTTTCCAGTCATTTTCTTGCAGGTTTCATCAGGCCATCTCTTCAGCTACTGCATTCTTCCAGTGTGTCCTTGGACTCCCTCTTCTTCTTTCAGCAGGGATTCATTTTATTATTTTCCCACCTTCCCTCATCCATTCAAAGCCCACATTCGGCCTCCACAGTCTAAAATTGTAGTCCCTATGTTTAGTTTTGCTAACACAACTTCATTCCTTTTTCTGTCCTGAATCATGAGATGACAATGACGTTGCCAATTACCCATTTTGGTTGCTCTTCATTGTTTCTTTAGTTACTCAGTTGTCCACACTACTTCTCCGTAGGTAATAATACTATCTACAATAGACTTGGAGGAATACTGCCATAAGCCTTTTCTAAATCAATGACAAGAAACCTTGAATCAATTGGGTTTCAAGGTCTCTTGCTGAGCTACTTTAAACAGAAACCACAATCCACACATGATCTTCCAGCATAAAATCCATTTTGTTCTCGCCTGTGTATCTGATTTTCAATTCTTTGCTTTATAATTTTGCCATATAGTTTTGAAAGAAAATTAGTCACACTTATTTCTCTGTAATTAGAGCAAACTCTTCTCTCTCCTTTCTTGTCAATGTTAGAAATATAAGTAGTTTTCGACTCAGGGGGCACAATTTCATCGCGCAAGAAACAGCTGAAAACAAGCTAACAGCTCGTGAAGCAAATCCATCTCATATTTAAAAAGTTCTATGTGGAGTCCTTTCAGTCCGAAAACGCATCTATTTTTCATGGCTCTAAGAGCTTCTTTTTATCTCATTAACTGAGATGTTTTCTGAAAAAATCTGATCTGGGAAACTTATCTTAATGTCTGATTGAGTAATAAATTTTGGACGATCAACAGCTAACAGCTTCTGATGATATATTTACTAATCGTAAGGGAATACGACTTATGGGCATTATCTCTTTTCAGTCAGTTATAAGAGATTTTAATATTTTACATGCTTCACAGGTCTTTCTATATCCCATATGCTCATCAATAATCTTACATTTTTTTTATTCCAAGTTTCATTTTTGGCTTTTGCTACTTCCCTACAACATTGAGAAGAGCGTTTTCTACCCTCATGGTTCCCAGTTCTCAGATATACATTCTACGGTTTCTTTTTCTTTTTTTCTTTTTTTTGCCCCTCCCGTATTACCATTCCACCAAGGATTTTTACATAACTTATTTTTATTGTTAAGTTTTTTCAATTCTCCAAGAGCTTCTAATGGGGTTTCATTGACTACCACACCATTGTACATGTTCATTACATCACAATAGGTGATATTGTTCAGTTTGGAACCCAGTCTAGCTTTGTACAGAAACCCGGTCAAATCATCATTGAAGGATTGGAGATTATATTGAATGGCTTTTGGCATATCACATCCATAATCATCTTCATAACACGTCTCTGTAAACTATTTCCATGGGAAAACAATTTTTGCTCTAAGGTCTGTTCTGTATTCTGCGCCTCCTTATACTCTGACATCTTGAAATTTTAGCATTGTATTTTGTCTGCTAATCGCATAGTCAATAATTGGCAGCAAAAGAAGAGAAGGTTGAATAGAGGTAAATTTATCAATATTTTTATGTTGGTAGAATCCTTTCTGAATTTTCAGGGAATATTGTCGACATATCAATCATCCTATCCCCATAGTTATTTACACGATTTTCTCCATAAGATCCCACAATTGCGTCACTTGCTTTCGAATCAACGCTAGCATTAAAATTCCCCAGCAAGAATATCTCCTTTCTACTAATGATGATGAGCAAAATTTGGCTCAATAGTTCATCATGTTCATCCTTAATGCCAGTGGTATCATCATTTGATGGTGCGTATATGTCAAAAACTACAATATAATATCCTTTTAGTGCAAGCTCTTTAATATTTTTTTTCATTTATGGCCTCCCAATCTTTGATATTTCTTGCTAATGTATTCTTTCCTTTTTGTTTCAGTAAAAGCGACAATAGCCAAATAAATTCTTTTCATTTCCTGCAAGTCTTCAACCTCTTTTGTTCGCAATCTTTAAATATTCCATGTATCAATATTTACTGTTCGTTTTCTACTTCCAAATCATTGTCTGTTGAGTGTCAGGCTTCTTTGATTGCTAGGTAAGCGGTGGGGTGTTTTTCCAGGAGTAGGGGTGCTGACTCTACGACCCAAAACCATTGAAGGCAGTCACACCCTAAAGCATGGGACTATTGGAATAGTGAAAATGAAATATACCACATGAGCAAGTATGAGAAAAGAGAAAAAATGAGTCCAACAGATCGGTAGATAGTAGGGAAGACCTAACTTTCCCTGGAATATCTCCCCCAGCACACAAATAAAAGCTAAGTATTTCACTCTGGATAACAATGGCAGATCCCAACCAACCTCACATTTTCAGTTAGAAGTATGACGGTAAACTCCTGCCTGATATCTATCATATTCTGAAATATCAATTGAATTCTGATATGGCAAAACCCTCAAATTCCACCTTCAAAAATCTGTTCGAACCGTAAGTGAACATGAACAAAAACAGAAATAGTAATTTTTCTCAAAACTAACTTCAGTAGGAATCAGCCGTTAATGTTCTGAAGCCTCAATTATTCACAAACCTATTTTAAAAATTTTCTAGGCATCTTAGACCATTTTTAGGCATCCCCATTCTTTCCATTCCTTTAACATCTATAACCCCTTTATTAGTCTTTGTTATCAATTCTCTAATCCCATTTCCAGTATAAAATGAAGAAATGCTTACTGGTAACTTCAATAACTCCATCATTTTCTCTCCAATGGCCATCAACTTGGTGTGGTAAGAATGGAAATTCACATGTCTCACAAATTCTTTATCACTTGATGTCTGAAATTCACAGGCTTTCCACTGGCACATGAATATATCTACGAAAAAACAATACATTATACAATTACCATCCTTTTAAAGTACATGTAAAATTTCAAAAATTCATTGGGCAAAAGTACCAGAGACTGTATCAGAATGTCAAAAACCACAGAACAGCATGTGACATGGAAATATGCACTTTAACTTTTTTCACCATCCTATTTTCTTTCAGCAGTACCTCAGAAATTATGGATGTTCTAGGAATGGAATCACCAAATTTCAACACGATGTCAAGATACACACCATCATAGTGCGTAAATACATTCCACATAAAACTCAGTTTTCAGTCTTTCGAGTACTGTGTGTGAACTCACTTGTGTCTCCGAGACGCCAAAAAATGGTAAGACGATTATCCTTCATGATGTCTGGGAGACATCAAATGACACGAATAGGTTTAAGTTGCACCCTATATTTAAATCAAATTTAGAAACCATAAACATGCATACAAATTACAAGTAGCATGAATTGAAGAATGTGGGCAAACACAGATTTGAGCAAAGCAAAGAATTTTAAGTTGATCACAGATTTATTATTGTTTGAGCAAAGTGGATCAATGGGGCACAAGCTCAGTTCATGCTATGTGGTTAAATGGATACACTACGATCAGAAGGCCTTTTTCATGGCCTTTTCTTAACAATTTGCTCAGTGATTCTTGGCCCATTGTGTGCCACAAACTTCAATTATTAAAATATTTCAGTTTTTAAAACACACAAGAATTTCCAAAACATTTCAATAAATATTTGGAAATAGTAATTAAATATTTTAAATTAAAAACAATTATATATCATTTTTATACTAAGCAAATTTGTGTCTTAACTTAAATTGATTAGACATCATTATCTCTTGCTACTGCGATAAAATAAGAATACAATATTTTCAATCAGCCCCATCTAGTGTTCACTGAAGTATCATGAGAAAAAACTGTTTGTCAATCCTTAGAAAATACCTAATACATGACAAGGTGTCCAACATTCTGCATGTTTAAGTTTAGAAGCATTTTCATTTCATCTCTAAATATTCACTAACAAATCTCTTTCAATAATATTCCCCCTAAATGCTCGGAACACATGAGAAAAATGTATTAATTTATAGCTTTAATATGTTTTATTTCCTTCAAAAAGTTAAAGACACTTCTCATTGGTCAGTTTTGTTGTATCATTACCTCTTTATCACACAGACGTTAAGAACAGAAGAGAAAGGACACACATGCATTTTTCTTTGACAAAATATCTTCCAAATTTTCATTTCTCCTGTAGCAGAAGTTCTAGTCCTTTATATCATAATTGTTTTTGACTCTGCTGAGAAAAATCTACTCAATTTCTTTCTTTCACAACTGTGCCTTCCACATCATTTGACACTTTCATTTCATCACCCAAATCTTCCATAACAGAACGTGTCAATTTACAGGTCCAACAGCAAGAAGGCAACATTCTTTTTGTTGAACTCCTGTACAATAATTCTATACAGTAAGTGTCAACTGTTTCTCTCAATTCTCAATTTCCCCATTCCATTCCCACTAAACTTTTTATTTTTAAATTGTATTTAATAAAATCAATGGAGTAAAATAAAACATTGTACACAATCATATACAATATATCGTATAGAACGTACACAATCAATACACAAAGATAACGCTCATACATGACATAATTCTTTATCAGGGAGTAAAATAAATTACTTTAATCTAACTTTTCTCCATTCTTAAATCCCAAAAAACTTATGAAAGGATAAAAAAAATATTATTCAGATATTTCCAGAGTAAAATGCTTAATTACACACATTAACTCACCATTATTTTTATCATCAGATATAATATTCACTTCAGGAATATGATAACTAACATGCTTCACAAAATCCTCAAGAGATGAATTTTCATGGATACAGTTTAACCATTCACATTTTAACAGGAGTGGAAATTGGTTCCACTTATATTTTTTTCTAGATTCTGCTGGACGTCTTGAAGCACGAGGTTCCCAAAGAATAAGATCATCAGAATATCTTTCCACATCATCCTCAACATCTGAATTTGCTAAGTCGTTAATGCTTGAAACACGTTTCCTTTTTCCAGTATTTTCCCCTATATTTCTTTGATAGAATTCTTCAGAATGTTTCAACCACAATTCCACACGTTCGGAGCGTGAGAAAGGTTGAGAACTTTCTTGAAGAACCTGTGCATCCATTTTACACCGCAATATATTGCGCAAATTAAGTTACAAAAATACCAGCAACAAAATTTTATAATGTATCACAAAAAAAATCATGGATCTAGCTGGTACCCAAGAAACAATTAGGAACTTCAATACTCGGTGAAATTTATCCACGATTGCAAAAGTATGCCAAGCTTTCACCTATTAAGCACCACAAACGTAGTAAAACACCGTCAACCACTGATAACCTACGAAACACTTTACATCTCAAGAACACAAATGCAATTGAACTGGCCTACATCAAAATTCAACAAAACATTCGCTGCGTGAACTCGCTTTTTTTAACGATTATATGTAGAAAATGTTAGCAATATGCCAGGTAGTCCCAATTATTTGTTACACTTCGAACCACATCCAAATGTTTTGACGTCGTTTTAAAAGGCAACGATAGAAATTCAATGGCAAAGAAATTTATACTTCCATATTTCTACAGTGGCCGTTGATATGACTTCTTCGTTACACCTCCTGTCCTATAAAATTAATATTTTTAACAGAGGTAAGTATAATTCTGAGGCCATAAACACTGTTGGAAGGACGTTCACATTTTAATTAAAAATATTCATTTAATAGTTGGGCTTTTATTTCTTGGCGCGCGACGCCTTGTCTTCACGATGTCATATCCTGGTTTCATATCCAGTCATATCACCACGTTATTTCACATCAATCTCAGTCGTGCCGCTAGATGTCGCATGATCGCGACCGTATCGAGCAGTGCTGGCAAGAATGCGAAATCTAGCAGCACGACCGAGGAAAATACGAAATACCGTCAGATATTTAATCGCGAGGACAAGGCATCCGCGACAAGAAATAAAAAACCCAAGTATATACGGCCAGAGGTGTCAGTGTCTAACGTCAACGGTCACTATAGAAAAATCGAAGTTTAAAACTATTTAGATGATACATATATATATATATATATATATATATATATATAATATATATATATATATATATATATATATATATATATATATATATTATTATTATTATTTTTCATTTTCTCTCATTGAACTAGCCAATGCTCGACTCACACGGTGAAGAGGTGAGTCAACCTGCTGCATTTTTCTCTGAGTTTGTGAAATTATGGACTGGGTATACAAGAGAACTATACTATTTGGCAACTACACTCCACGCTGACATAGGGAGCGTACCAAGGGGGCTATAGAATAACTCATGTATATAGTCCGATTAAACGCAGTAGGTGAATGACGGTTAAGCATTAAGGTTAACAGCGTTGCCAAGTTGCGTACCGCTGAGCCATTGCAATTCGTTTGTTCCAGCAGCAGTCCGAAACAGTCCCAAACTAGTCCGGGCATGCGCAGCCTAGTATTGGGCGTTCCAGCAGCAGCAGTCAGGGATTGTGACTGGGAGTTGGGCGTTCCAGCAGTGTTGCTGATTAGTTTGAAACCAGTCCAAAACAGTCCGAGTCAGTTCGTGCACTCTCCCTCAAACTAGAAATCCGCGCATGCGTACTTCGGTCCCCGATTTCCAGCCAACGCCAACTTCGACAACGCGCCATTTATGTTTCCATCAGGTTTCTGCATAGTTGTTTTACATGATTCTTTATATATATTGACCCTGCTTTGTTTTACATTTTATTGATTCTTGGTTTTTGGTGATTTCGCTTTCTTTCGGATTCTTCTCGTGGATATTGGAATTTGACCATGCTTTATTTTACGTTTCATTGATTTTCAAGTTTTTTTCGAGTATTACTAATCGCGCGCTTCTTTAAAATTTATTTTTATTTATTTATAGTTAAAACGATGGGAAGAGATTCTGGAACTCAAGAAAACATGCGCAGATCATCTTCTCCCCCATACGTCACATATAATTTTTTTTTACTAAATCAATCTAAATCTAGATTCTTGGATTTTGGTGAGTTAGCTATCTTTCGGATTTTCTTGTGGATATTGGAACTTGATATTTGTTTCTTTTTTTTTGGGGGGGGGGGAATGGAAGGTACGTAATTTTAAGGAAGTTCCTTGTACCGTGACTTACTAAATATGTATGTACTTATTTACCGTTCCGTATTTGTAGCTTCATCTCTCATTTTTAAGAAAAATACAAATAACCGAAATCCAAAAGAATATACAAAAACAAAATCCCAAGTCTCAAGTTTACCAGGTTCAAATTCTTTAATTGATAGCAAGGTCAAGAAAATAAGCGAGCGATTATGGAAAAACGTAAAGCGAAGCGAATACCAGGAATAGCCAGGGTCAGGTCGTTTCGATTTTTTCATGCGATATGAAAATTAATCTGGCTGAGAATTCTGCAACTACCGATGAAACGAAAGCAGCGGCACCTATAGACTGATTTTTGTACCTACTTTTTCCAGCGGATTCCAATCCGGGACTAGTTTCTGATTAGTTTGCACTCGCGCATGCGCAGAGTGAGAGTACGTAAAACAGTCCTTGATTGTATGCTGCAACAAACCTTTTACTACAGGCCGTAACAATCCGATTTGACAAAAGGGTTTGGGGGTCCAAAAATGGGCCACACACCAGCAAACTTGCTGGTGGTTTTCATTGCATTCCAAGTGGTTTTATAATGGGTACAATATGTATTACCTGAGATTTTTACAATTATTACTCATATCAAACAAATAGTTTCGGAGATAGACAAAAAACAATACGAATCCTCGACTAATCGATTACAAAATACCCACTACGTGACAAAATTGGAAAAATATTAATTTCACCGCTTCCTTATGATTTTTTTCTTCAGGTAGAAAACTTAACGAGAAATTCAAAGATGCAAACGAGACTTCAATCAGGCAAATAAATTCGAAGATAGACGAGAAACACAACGAATCCTCGACTGATCGAGTACAAAGTACCCCCCTCCGATTAGTGGCGATAATGGAAAAATCTTAATTTTGCCACTTCCTTCTAAAATGCTGTGTATAAGTAGAACACTACAAGAAATTCAATGGTGTTAACCAGAATCCGTTCGGACGAATAGTTTCGGAAGTAGGAGAGAAACAAAACGGATTCTCCACTGATTGAGTACATAGTACCCCCCCCCATTAAGTGAACAAATTGGAAAAATATTAATTTCGCCTCTTCCTACGTAAATTCTGTGTATAAGTAGAACACTTTACGAGAAATTCAATGGTGTTAACCAGAATCCGTTTAGACGAATAGTTTCGGAAATTGATGAGTAACAAAACGGCTTCTCCACTGATCGAGTACTAATTCCCCCCCCATTGCGTGACACATTTGGAAAAATATTAATTTCGCCGCTCCTTTCTGAATTTGTGTATAAGTAGAATACTTTACGAGAAATTCAATGGTGATAACAAGACTCCGATCAGACGAATAGTTTCGTAGTTAGACAACAAACAAACCGGATACTCGACTGATCGAGCACAAAATATCTCCCATTACGTGATCAATTTGGGAAAATGAATTACAAAAGGAAACGGCGAAATTAATAGTGTATAAGTAGAAAACTTTACGAGAAATTCAATGGTGTTAACCTGGTTCCGATCAGACGAATAGTTTCGTAGTTAGACAAGAAACAAACGGATCCTCGACTGATCGAGTAGAAAACTCCACCTCATTACGTGAAAAATATGGAAAAGTATTAATTTCGCCGCTTCCTTCTGAAATTCTGGGTATAAGTAGAACACGTTTCGAGAAATTCAATGATGTTAACAAGACTCCGATTAGACGAAAAGTTTCGTAGACAAGAAATAAAAAACATCCTTGACTGATCGAGCACAAAATACCCCCCCCATTACGTGACAAAATTAGAAAAATATTAAATTCGCCGCTTTCTTCTTAATTTCAGTGTATAAATAGAACACTTTACGAGAAATAAATGGTGTTAAACAGGCTCCAATTAGACGAATAGTTTTGTAGTTAGACAAGAAATAAACCGATCCTCGTCTGATCGAGCACAAAATACACCCCCATTACCTGACAAAATTGGAAAAAATATTAATTTCGTTGCTTCTTTCTGAAATTCTGTGTATAAGTAGATCACTCTAATACTTAAGTCACTAAAGCCCCTAAAAACATGTTTATCTCTATTAATGGAACTATTATCTTTTTATTGTATTATCTACTTTTTATTAATTGTTTTTATATTTTAACCCCTAAAGTTGACAAGACTGATGGATGCTAAAACTATAATTATAATGGTTGTAAGATAAGTTACGTGCCTCTGATAATAGAAACGAAGAAATAAACAAGAACAGAGCTAGTGGCTCAGTGCGTAGCGCACTGACTTCGCAATCGGGCGGTCCGTGTCCGAGCCAGCCATCTGACCGGGAGTTTTCGTGGTTTCCCTCAGTCATAATTTAAAAATGCCACGATTACCTCCCATCATCCTAGTCATTACATCCATCATCATCACCACTTCGTCACTTCATTCAGTATTCTCTGCAAGAAAGGCAGGAGGCCCTTGCGCTTAATGGGATCTCAAGTTTTCTATTAATGATAATAATAATAACAATAATAATAATAATAATAATAATAAATAAGCACAACCATGGTTGTCAGAATGAAAGGACAGGTGAAAAGACAATTTTGAAGAGGGCATGTACATATGCAAAAAAACAATGGAAAAGCAATAGCAGTTATTAACAAACTCCAAAGAATACGGCACCACTTACCGGAGGTCATCAAAAATGAACATCCAGGGATACTTTGCAACTGGCCTGAGATGAAATACTGTGTAAACATTTGCATGGCATCTCCTTGTGTGTAATATTTAGACTTGCATACTAAATTGTACTTCTTTCTTCATATTTTTATGATTCTTAAACATTCTTACATGAGATTAAAATACATTCAGATCTATATTTGTATTAAAATTTAAAAAGATAAAAAAAATACAAAGTTGAGTACACGAGGCCTTGCAAAGCCAAGGGAGATAAGTGCTAAAATGCTTTTTTTCACGAAGTAAATAAAAACTATGAATTTGTGGGGCTACAAAATAAAATCCTCAAAAATATTGTAAGTAGACTTTTACCATATTTTTATTTAATGCATATAATTTTGCAACATTTTCATTAATCAGAAAGCTCAGAAATATTTTTGATAATTAGACAAAATCTAGAAGAAAGGAGCACAGTCCATCCTTAACTTAATGAGCTATACACATTACAATGTCTTAAATCTGAGGACGAAGTTATGTTAATAAATTCTGATCTTCCAATACCACTATGTCATCTGTCTGATATACCAATATGCAACAAGATTTTAAATTTCATTCATAATGTTGAGAAAGAATTCTTTATTGTCTTGATCAATACATGGCATTATTTTCTCTTAGTCACCTTTTCATTTTCCCTGGTTGTAGTACATAGTAGGTTTTGAATAAATGGTCGTTGAAATTTTCTTTGATTTTAACTACAGTTGTTGCGTCTTCTTAAGTATCCAAATAGCCATACAGATTTTTAGTTTGGATGTGCTCAATGACTGGGATACTGCTTCTTCAATGTACAGGAATTTACATCTCATTTGCAAGATTTGAATGGTCTGAATGAATGTCGAATATGAAAGTACAAATTATTTTAACACATTTCAACATACTAGCCTAGGTTGAAGCTTTTTACTGGAATCACACCACAATCTCTAGTACGATACAATTTACCACTCTTGTCCCTTTTACGCATTAAAAGATTTTTACTGCCTACATTTCCTGATTAATTCGAAATGTAATTGTCGCCTTCCTATATATTCCACACAAAATGAGCAAAAAATAAATTATACCAGAGAGTATATAATACACTCGGATTACATCTCCCATGTACACTCAAATCACATAAACACAATATCTAAAAAGAGGTCACTGCAAGGCACGTAGCTCTTTTAGGAAAGCATATTAGTCTTGACATGCAACCAAATTAATTTCTAAGATGTTGAAACTACTTGGAAGATATTTGTAACATAGCTCTTTTAACCATGCCAATTTATGTATTTAGATGACAAAATAATCAATGTGAAAATTTTGGTACATAGCTCCTTTGGTTTTACAAGGCATCACATAGTATTTGAATAATTATGTACATTAAAATGTATTTTTGCTTAAAAAAAAATAGTTTGCTTCCTACACAAAAAAGTTCAATGAGTGATTATAAAATGAAACAAATAAGATAACAAATGTTGTCTGCATGCGTGCTCATGTCAGTCAAGCCTGCGTACAACAGTGGGTTAAAGAGAGAATCTAAAAAACCAATAATATAAATGAAGATTTGCATTATATTCAAGGTCTTAAAACCATAATTTCAAGAAGTATTAAAATACTTTATCTTTACAATTTTTTGTGTATCTCCATCATGTTTCAAATCAATTATAAATCTTCAAAGGCTAAATGTTTGTAATTCCTGATATAGAGAACTTTAAAGCTGCTAAATATGTTAGAAATAATTGTGTGTCATTAGAAGTTTCTGTCAAATGTTGAGAACTATGTATTTCTCATAACCTCAAAAAAAAAAAAAAAAAAAAAAAAAAAAAAAAAAAAAAAAAAAAAAAAAAAAAAAAAAATAAAAAATAAAAAATAAATAAATAAAAAGAGGGACAAGTGAAAGAAAAGTTTTCAGGATATTAAATAATTGAATATCATGGAGATATTTAGAATTCAAAACTGCAATTCTTAGAATACATCATTCACTTTTCAAGTAAGAGAATATATTCAAAATGTGGGTTTTATTATAACTTTCATAAACATTGATAAATAAATATATAGGCAAACATTTGGGAATACATTCTGTACATATATATATATTGCAGGAAAAAGAAAATAATTGTGATGATCTTAGTTCTAAAGAGTTTAAAACACCAAGAAAACATAACAATGAAAATATTCAATCCATTCTTAGCAGAAACGTATGTTGGCTACACAGTAGCTTTCCATGCCAATTGCTGAGATAAAAGGCATAATTGATTTCAATAAATAAAATACTAACAATATGTTAGACCATGTCTACTGCATAATACAGAGTTTCTTATAACACAGAAAGAGCTCTTTACAGAATGCAATGTTCAAAAATATGAACATAGCTATCACAACACGCTAAGGAATTGCTGTCAACATTTTGCAAACAGATTCCAGCTGACGGATATAGATATTTTCTTCACACAAGAAGAATATCTCACATAATGCAGTAATATACATAGTTCTACAACACTAATGTTCCAAGAGAGTTATCACACAATGCATGCTCAAATTATCTATGATGCATGTACTTCCTGCACATATTTCAATATTATTCAGAAGTATAATACAAAATAAAAATTAAAACATTATAAAACCACATTTCAAATATACATATGAATTTTAAATAAAGCAGAGAGTAAGTGTATTCAATAAGATGTTCTGAAAATGACCCGCAGAACTTGAGCCAGTGCAGCAACAACTACATTTCACAGAAAGTACTGATGCCTGGATCTTGGTATCATCTCAGTGATCCATTAGTTTACTCAGACAACAGGAAACACTTAAAGAACTTAATTAATTTTCAACAGTAGAAGGAGAATTCACTTTCACTAAAAGTTCAAGTACATCATGATTATGCTATTTATTTCTTAACACAGTCTATCAACATACAAGTTTCTTGTAATGATCAGTCTCTGTTTTTATCGTGTCATTAATGTACTAACAATTTCAAGAATCACATTACGTGATTACTGTAATTCATGAAATACACTTGTGTACATTCAACCAAATACTTCAGGTCATTCGCATCAATATGTTTTGGATTTTATATTCATAGGTTCATGCACACGCATTAATATTATGCCTAATCATATATGTAACTTAATCATACACCCACACACACACACAGCAACAAATTCAAGCAACAAGTCACACATTGCAAATTGTAACATTATTTTGATTTGTTCCTAATGAGATCCACAACAGTTCACTCAGTCTCGCAGGCTAAACAAAGTACCATGTTATCTCAAACACACATCAACACACAAGGCCAGACCACATCTTCATGGAACTTCTTGCTATTCTGGACACTGCAAAAGTACAGAAACAAAACAATGCAATTATTTTTCTTAATATTTGTTGGAAAAGAATATGAACATACATTTGAAGAGTAATTTATTTTAAGAAAATTTGTAGTAAACTGATGGCCCGAAGCAGCAATGATGTTGAACAAAACCACACAAAGTAGTTTTTCAAAAAGTAGCACTTTCTCTGTTCAAAAACAATAAATAAAATATTCTCGTATGACACTACAGTAAATATTGTAACAAAAATTGTTTTCACTAATACTCCATTATCATATAATATTATATGGTTATACAGTACAGAAGTATTCTAAATACAATAATAATAATAATAATAATAACAACAACAATAATAATAATTGTTGCTCCCTAACGCAACAAGCAAATATTTGATAGTAGTCTGCCTCTTCCTTGGAGCCTTACTGTTGCAAGATATCAGCCGTGTTGTAAGCAGACACACACAGAGTTTGAGAATTCATCAGAGTGTATGAGAATAGGCAGAAAAACAAATACAATATTTGTACTTTTAAGTAAAATCGAAAATGTTTCATTCTTTTTGAATTTATTGTTTGATTATTTACTTAATGTCAGAAACAGTTAACTGTGCGAGATGAACTATGAGGAGAAGTGTATTTTGTGCAGTTTCTCACATATTTATTCTTTTAGAATTATACTGTCCAAACACTAATACATTAAATATTATTGTTAAAATCAAAATTACTTTCTTTTTGATGCTTGGTATAGCCTTTAATTGAATAGAAAAAGTTATACTGCAGAAAAGGTTTTACTTGGCACATAAATCTTGTGTATTAATATTACTCATTTAATGTCATCGGGCAATGTGTTGTAAAATAATGTATGTGTACTGTAGATGAATGTTTTGTAATGAGTTGTTGATACTAACATCTTAAGAATACGGTACTTATGTCAAATGCTATGGTTACAGACATCTGTATTTGCTGAAAATATCTTCCCCCTTGAGTAAGCCATTTTTGACAAAAAACAGGTTTTTCCAGGAACATAATATTATTTCGCTTTATATCCCTGGTGGGAATGAACTTTCCCAAAATGTATACAATAGTATACAATGACTGAATTTGAAACAATTCTTAACATATAGCACAATGAATTCTGTTTTGTGTTCAATTCATTTAAATGGACATTACATTTGAGGTTTGACTGAATGCAGACATCCAAAAATGTTGATGACAACATCTGTCAGAGGTACATCATTCATTTTCAATGGAGTATACAACTGTTTATTTGAAATGGAAACCTCCATTGACATCATTTTCCAATAACAAAATATTTGATATTGTACTATTTACGGTTTCTTTATTGCAAACAATATTCATTTAATCAGCAAAGAGAACTGATCATCTGTTTTGAATCAATATGGGCATAAGGTTTACATATAGAAGGAACAGAATAGGGGATAAAATCGAACCTTGTGGGACCCAATATGCAACTGGCAGTGAATTGGGAAGGTGAGTAAATAATGTCACACCTTGCCAGTTCTGTATTGCTACTCTCTGAGATCGTTGTTTAAGGTACAAACATAATCAATCAAGAGCAATACCATGAATTCCATACAAAAGTAGTTTTGAGAGTAAAATGTTATGATTATCGAGCATTTCGTGAAATGGTATGTTTTTCTTCTCATTTTAAAACAATGATTAGTACAGACATTCATTTTATGTTATAACAAAAGGAAATGAGCCATTTTTATATAACATATTTTTCTTTGATTTAGACTAATTTTTTTACCTTTTTCTGTCATTTTTAAAGCATTTTTTGCTGATTTCATTGATTATCATATCATTTTAATGGTACTTGCTTCAAATACTATTTACAGGTTGCAACAAATGTTCTCCACAGAATTCCTGACAATCCTATAACTTTTCTTCACTCAGATCTTGTAATGTCAGCCATTGTGGGTATGTAACCTAAGATTTCTGTAACAACTAACCGCACCTTTGACCGTTCAGCCTTTCTCGGGATAACTAAAGATAAAGATTTCCTGGTAAAGAACAGTCCAAACCAAATGTCTGGAAACTGAGTTCTCTTGAATGAAAGTAACAAGCCCTGATTACATCAGTAATATAATCCAACAGTTTGAGTTCTTCATCTGAACTGGTTTATAAAATTTGTGGCAATGTTTTAGGTCATCTAAATCCACCCCTAGTTATAATCAATAAAGTCAAATACTTCTGAAATAAATAAAAATATTCCAATTATACATTGGTGAAGTGACATCATTAAGGGAAAAGAAAAAGAAAAAAGAAGAAACTGCATAGTTTTCTTTCACTTTCAGTGACATTGAAATTTAGTAATATTGATGTTCTTGGATTTTTTCCAAGTTCCTGGATATCTAAAATAAACAATAAACACTGGAAGCATCACATGACTGGAGGCTGCATAATTTTGTTTTTTTTTGTAGTTATTTCTGCAATTCTAGAATTTATTAATTGAAGTTTTGTTTTTCTTTTAACAGATGTATAGAAGCTGATAAAATATCTTGGGCTGCAACGAAAAGGTTTTAAGTGCAAAATTGTGGAATCAAGAAAAAGTAATGTTAAAGACTAAATGATTAAAAAAAACAACAGATTTTAAGTTGAAAACCTTCTGTTCATTCATACATGTATTAGGGCTACCTCTTAGTACAATTACATTTACCATGCTTGTGAATCTCAGTAGAGCCTAGCTAAACCAAATTACCACTTTAAATTATTACAACAAAATGTTTGGAAGTGTGGTATCTTACTTTTGAACTCTTATATATTTCATTTTACTTCTTCAGAATCGTCACTTGCACCATCCTCCACTCCTCCAGGTCCTTCTACTTTGCTGTGGTGGTTTCTCACAGGAGGGAAAGGAAGAAAGTTCTCTTGACATATTTTCTTCTTCTGAATATAAAAACAAAAGTATTTGCTTTTGATGTTTCAATGAAAATATGTAATTTTTGCATTGATAGCTATAGGGAAATTTATTTAGATCAAGTTTTAAATAAGTAAACTTTTAAGGTATGCAAAAGAGATCGAAATCGCATTGAGTAGAAAATTTCAGCCTTTCATCTTCTCGTGTGTTGAGCACTTATATCTCGGAGCAATCCAGAAGCCAGAGGATAGGGGAAGGATCTTCAACTTCAAAATGCCATCTAGAGGAGTTACACTGAGCGCAGGAGTAAGCCAGGGTCCAATCAAATTTATACATCTTTCTCTCTTAGCTCATTGCAAGTAGATTCATGTAATCTCATTTGTAAAGACAGAGACAGGTGGTAGTAGCAGTATGCACTGCGAGCAGTTTACACCATAAGGCATCCCTCACATCCCAGTTTCCACTGCAGTCTTCTGCAGAAAATCCTTTTCTAACCATCGACTTCTTCACTCCTTCCTTTCATGTACTTCTAGATCTTCCTTATCTCCTGTGTGAAGCTGGTTGCAACTTTCGAGGCCATCATATTTCAACCATTCTGTGTAAGTGAGCTTACCATTTGAGTATTTTAATTTCAATGATATCTATAATGTATTTATGTAATGTATGTATTCTATAATGTATGATATCTATAATGTATCCTTCAGCTTTACTTCTAATTTCATCAGTTTTTACTTTGTCCAACAATGTCAATCCACAGCTTCTTCTCCACAGGTCCTTTTCCATTACTGTAATTTTATTCTCATTACTAGACCTAGAAATTTTAGGCACAAAAACGGTAGGTACCCAAAATAGGTAACAAAAGTATGAAATTAGGCATGAAATGTAACATTTTATGCACTAAGACTTTGGTTCTATTTGTAGGCTTTGCCTTCCAAAAGTGTTTGCCTAACCTGTGCCTTTCCTCGCCTGGATTGCATTGACAACGTGCTGTGGCGATAAGCCTCAACCTGTCAACAAGCAGCTGCACTGGGAATGGATGCAATTGCCTAAGAAGTGCATGCTGATAAGCATAAAACTTTTTTTAGCAAAAGTTTTTTATTGACTTGCAGAGTTCCGTATGTTCGATGCGTTGAATGAGATTTTGGTGCCTAGTCAATTGCGTATTTGATCAGGAAATATTTCCTTTCAGGAAATTCATAAAAGTGTGTTTCAGTAAAAGAAAATTTAACAAATGGTAATTAAAATATGATCATTCTTCACTATTAACTGTTTTAGGAGTTTTAAGCAAAAAATATTAAAATAAATATCAACACACCTTTTAGGACATTTTAGACTCTATAAGATTCATTAAGTAGATCTATGTTTTCATGATTCATAAATATCTCCAATTATTCCTCACAACTTACTCATTACCTTTGGATACTTCCCAAGCTTCACACCTATATGCAGAAATACTCTCAATAATAGTCTTATACAATCTTCTCTTAAAACTCTTCCTCAGAATTAGGTTGCGTATTAAGGGATGCAATTGTCATACAACTACTTTTCCCCTTTCATATTCCACTCTGAATATCTTGTGTATACTAAAATTTGCTGCTAAATGCATACCTAGATAAGTAATATTCAGGCAGGATTTCACTAATCATCCATCATTTATACATAGTTTTGGCTTTTTCCCTTAAAACCATATATTCATTATTTTAAAGTTTTCATGCAATTCATTCCTCCTCTTCAGAAACATACACAAGCTACTATAGGAACTTAGTCAGCAGTATGCAGACTATTCTACCAAATAGCTCTTAAGGAATGATAACCCGTTATGACAAACATTAAGATTGTTCTTTCTTTGCTGTGCTCATAGACAATGTACTTCTATACGATTTTGGCAATTCTTCAGGTGATCTTTCTCTTCCAGACCCTTATTGAGCAGTACTAATCCCAGTGCCTGTAGATCCCATGAATTCTCCTTTGTGTACTTGAAAAACTTCACTTTCAGTGAGCTGAAATCACTGTTGTCATTATTGGCTAAGAGTGTTCCACGCATTGAGAACATGAGTGTAGCAATTCACTAAAATGTAGAACAATAGTGGTAATTCACAAATTTAGCTGGGAAAGATAGCGTTGGTTGGAATACTCACCATGCTAATTATTTTACAGATAAAGCTTGTTTTATATGTCGCATCAAATGATTGCCAACATCCCGAACTTCTGGCCATTGTTTCAATATGAATACAATGCCAGCGACTAGGATGATTGTGGATAATATCCGTAATCTGTGAACAAAAATGAAGTGTTAACATTTACTTTTAACATTAACTTTTTAGCAAGAGAAAATGGCAAGAAAAGTAAAGGGAACAAAGACTAGCAAATTAGAGGATATTGTATCAACAGAAATGCTCCAAATTTTGAATCTGAGAACAAATTATTGCATTTAAAAAAAATATCACATACAAATGAATTGAAATGAAATTAATACAATCACACACATCTTACTGTTACAATAAAAATATAAGTTTAAAATTAGGAAAATATCAGATTGAAATACAATATAACAAATAAAAAATGAAAATCATCTAAAAGGGAATGCACAGATAAATATCTAGAATAAACACAAATTATGCACATGGCAAAACAAACAGGTTGCAAACACACAAAAAAATTGAGAAGAACACAAGGGGAAAAACATCACTAGACGTGTCAGAAAAAGTGTTTCAAACTACATGCATTAATCTTCATAACTTTGGCAAAGATCAATTATTGATAAAATAATGTTCCTCACAAAAAAAATTCATATGCATTTGGAAAGTTTAACCCTTTGCACTCCAACATTGAATAGGGCTCGAGACTACAAATTTGATCTTCCGCTGAAAGGCACCATATAAAAGAGAACGCAGGAGTTAAACAATACAAAAGTGTACCGTATTTATTGAAAAACCATTTCAATTTGTGAGACAATTTATAACATTATCTACAGCTTAGGACTGCGGTGATGTGAACCAAACATATTTTCATTGCTTCTCTACCAAACAGCCTTTTCTTTTGTAATACAAAACTTAGAAATTACCAAAGCATTGCAAGCGGCAATTTAACATGACAGACACATTTAAATAGTGAGTTTATGGGAACTTATTACCTGAATAATTAGGAGCGCAAAGGGTTAAAGAGAATAAAATGTGATATACTTTAAGTTTAATGACATTCAACTTGAACTAAAATATATTAAAATCAAATAATTTTTAAACCCCAACATTGCAATAATTTAGCAGCAACATGCACATCCTTCATCTTTAAGCCAAATATTCTAAATCCATAAAAAATTACTTTACAAAACTGGGTTCATATAAGATTTTCTAAATGGCCTCACAATTTCGCAGCTATTTGATCGACACAACCGATCTCCATTATCTCTACCTTGAACACCACCAATACCTCCCAAAAATGGAATATATCCGGCATGACAGCATCCTTAACATTCCCATGGCAATCTTTGGAATACAATTTCCTTATAGCAACTCCTTAAGAACAGATGAAATCACACAACAAAGAGGAGGGAGAGAAGAAAGATGAAACAAGTGGAGCTACAAATGGCGCACACTTTCTCACACTAATTTGTTTTCTAATCTCTTCAGTCTAAGTCAGCTTTTCAGTATTGACTCTCTCTCATCCGCTCAGGCATTTTTGCATAGTTTTACAATATTTCAGACTCCTAATAATAGAAATGAAATATGAATAAGAATATTTTGAAAGAGAAAGAAAAACAGGTTGAAAATGCAAATTTTCATTGAAAAATTAAAATTAAATGAAATTTTCATTGAATTACTTTTTTAGAAAATGTTTGCTCTTTTTCAAAATGGGCAGTTTTGAGCTTATTTTCAAAGAAAATATATGAGTTAACCACAAACTTCATAGGAAATAATTTCAAGCATTCGTACTCAAAACTGCACCAAAGTATAAAAATGTAAATATTAATGACTGGAAAGTTTAAAGTATTTTAAAATAATTAATTGTCGTAATTCAATTTTTCAGCACAAAAGACCCCAAAATAATTGGAAACTTAGATTCGGAGTACAATACATGTTAGAGGAAGTAACTACGGAACGTATTTCAAAAAGTCTACTTATGTATCAAAAATGATTTTGAGAAAAATGCGAGAAATGTGAACCCCTTTTCCAACATAGTTCCATGCAAAACTATTTTCTATTTTAAACTCTTTTTTGTTGTTGTTGTTAGAAGACATCACAAAACACTAAGTTTGAAACAATAAATCACCATATTTATGAGATTTTTAAATCAAAATTTTCCACATGACAAGTTTTGAAAATCACTCGACAACTGGTAGAGCTTTGCAACAACTTAACAATCAAAATATTTTTTGGATAATCAAATTATTTTTATAAACCCCTAATGAACTGTTACAATAAAAAATATCCATAAAACAAACTTCTAATTACAGTTCAGTCTTCTAAATTCTTAAAACATCATCATCGTTTCTTTAAACAAAGACACTGTAGATATCTTGAAAAGTTGATCTGCACAAGGATGGTTGCACAGTTAACTAGCTGTAACAACTGTCAAGCATTCACAATACTTTATCTAGTCACTAACTCAGCTTGACTCAGATGACCAACTTTTGCAAGTGGTGGACGAATACCAGATAGATAATGCTTAATAAAGACTTAAAGAAAGGAACTGAGCCCAGCCACTATCAGGCCCTTATCACGCTTACCAATGACAGCTCCCAACATTCATTACTTGTGAAATACCTACATGGCATACATGAAATATTAATCCTAGATCTTTCAGTCTGTCAGACTACTGCCAGAAGAACAAAAGATGTGTTGATCATTGTGAAGATGATCATAGAAAATGTAACAAGACAACTTGAGCGACAAGGGGAACACGAGGAGAGCGACAAGGGAAACGCGAGGAGAGCGTCAAGGGAAACGCGAGAACAGTGAGATGAAGAATGCTGGAAAAACAAGATGGGGAAAATGCTGGGGGAACAAGAAGGGAAAATGCAGGGGGGAGAAGGAGGATGCAGAAGGAATGGAAGGGGATCAGCGGGGGTTGGGGTGAAAAGGAGATTGGGGTGTGTGTGAGAAATGAATGGAGGTGGGAGCGAAGGAGAAAGAAGACAAGAGTTGCCAACAATATAAGAGTAACAAATGGATAAGAAGAAATAAGCAGAGATTCAAATAAGGGTGTCCTCTTCAGAAATAGTTAGTTAATTTGCATAAAATAGTTAGCATGTAGAGGTAAAGAACAAGTATACTGTGGGATAAAATGTGTAACTAAAAGTAGGTTTCATGTGTAAGAGAGAAATTTTGTAGGGTTTGTATGATTCATGAAGTACAGTATAGTATAGTATGGAGCTTGAAGTACAAATTTCAATGGTATTTAAATGTCAAATATTATACACAGGGTGACCAAACCCAATTTCGTAAAATTACCCTGATTAAAATTACTCTTGTAAATACTAACAAGAATAGGATTTTATTAGTTATTACAACATAACTTTGTACTACAACATATGTTTGTCACAATAAATCAGTATTTTTGGTTCGTTTTACTTGCTGATAGTGCATTTAATTGAACCTGGTAGTGCCTTAACTATTCAGCTCCTGTAGCTTATTCTTTATCACAATGTTGTACAACTCAAGCTCATGGCGCGAGATATTTAATTCCAGACTCTGTAGGTTTTGAGTTCTAAAACCATCTGATTGCCCAGATGTGCATGCAGCACTGACTTTTAGCACAAACATGGAAGAGCGATTGCCCTTCTAGTGTTTATTTTACTCATACTGGCTTTTTATCACATCCAATTCTGATTAGCATAAGACCAGCAACACATCAGATTTACTATTCAACATGAAAGGAAAAATACTTTGATAAGTAATACAATTCTCTGGCTACCCACCCAAAATTTAATTTCCATGACTTATTCTTGCAATTGGCCACACTGGATACAAGCAGGTTTGCAAAATATAACGCATACGTTGATTTCATTGTTTCTTCTTCTAAACACAGATTCATTCAAGGAATGAAGAGAAATAAATCTTAGGATTACAATACTGGTGGAAAGCATATAAAAGGAAAACTTAGATGTTTTGTTTCTTTCACAGCAGGCCATATTACAACTCTCACGCATACCTATTCAAAGCTTCTGGAGGAATGTGACAATAATACCCATCTTCTGTCCAAAATAGGGTAGTAGTTCCATGCTGTTGCAATCGGCACAGTGGAGATACGAAGCAGGAAGATGAGTCCTCATCATAAATGAGATTGGCCTTCTCATGAAAGATGTTAACGCATTCACTTTCTGGGCCTGGTAAACATCGCAGGACTTCTTTATTGAATGTTTCTATCATCACTTTAAATTTCACATGCATTTAAAACAGACTTCACTCAAGTTTTGAGTTGGAACATTTAGATACACTGTTGGGAAGACATATAAGTTGATCTGATGGCTAGCAGTTGGTACTAAAACAAGCAGTAGGAAGACCAAGGAAGTGCATTTGACATACATGAGCAGATAAGGGCTGGTGTATTTCACACAAAATCAGAGGAAGCTTGAGAGACATAGTAAGAAGTGACTGGAACATGAACAGTACAACCCAACAGTCATTACCGAGACAAAGTCCATGCATCCACCTAAAATGTATCACGTGTTCTCTACCATTTAAACTTGTCTACATGTAGTAAGTGGTGAAGAATTTTTTGATATTTGTACATGTTTAAGAGAAAACCCACGGTTCTTGTATATGAATTCACTGCTAGAACCAAGATAATTACCTAATAAATTATAAATTATATACATTGGCAATAATATCGTATTTAATAATAATAATAATAATAATAATAATAATAATAACAATTATTATTATCATCATCATCATCAGGTCAAATTTTTAGTAAAATATTAATTTCATTATGGAAGAAAATTCACTTTGATCAATCTTGCAATTGTAATATCTTCATTCTTATAATATTTCAAATTAAGGATACAAATCAACGATCTTTGTATATTTGCTAATCCTAACATTATTTTCTAGAGCAGAGTGCCCAAAACTCTCTCTTTCAAGCAAAGTTTGCTACCAACAAAAGTCAGAAAAATTTCCCTTTGTAGGACTAAGATACTGAATCCATTTCCTATTTGGGGTTGTGAATACTTAATCTGATACAAATCTTTATTCCAAGTTCCTTTAGAGAATTGACTTTCCACAACAAAAACATCAAAACATGTAAAAGAACACAACTATTTTAAGCCACAAAATTTGGCAGCCTTTCTCATCACACAAAAATTTCAATAAATTACGACCTAAGTGGAACAATAACGTTTGGTTGTTTCAGTCTCAAAACACAGCTTCTTATCCATCCTGTTCTCATTCCTATCCCCCGTAGTTATTTGACCTCTAAGATCTCAGACAGTAATTATCTAGATAACTCCATGTATTCTACACAGGATATTGACTATCATAATATCAATTTTATTCATGGGTCCAACATACAAACAAACTTGATAAACAAATGGTGTTGAGAAATCTGACAATGGGAAACTGAAAATTGTAAAAAATTATCACATTCTTGTGCATTATGCAAAACTTACATTTAGGTCATGCAACATACCTTGTGCGTAAAAAAGGCATTACTATTCCAGCTGCAGTAGCAACAAGAAGAAGCACAACTTGCAATACAGTTAAAACCACATTAATTAACTTCACCACAAGTGCTCGTGCATTTGAATTATCTATGCCCTCAAGAGTTACATATTGTTGGTGCTGCTGCTGTTGATGTTCCATTTTAGAAATCTGAAAACAAGACCTTAAAGTAAAACAAAATAGCAGACATTAACCTACAGCATCTCATAAAAATTTTAGCATTAACATCAGAGATTAACCCTTATCCGTGCAACTGGAGTCCATTGGACACAGAAGCAAAACGTTCAATGTTTTATGTGAAAATTATCGAAGATGTTGAAATATTTTTTTGTGACTTTGTTTGCCATGGTGATTTTTAAACGTATGCATAACCATTTTACAAAACCATTATGGAATAATAAATTAAATAATCTTTAGCTTATTTTAGGGCAAGCGGAGTCCATTGGGCCCAGGTCACGTAATCTGCATGTAATATTGCATTCTGTTTTTGTTTGGTCAATTGCTTGACAACTGCTTTGTGTTCAAGGGCCGGCGGATGTAGGGCAACGTCTTTGCATCAGGATATTATCTGACATTACACATGTGCAATTCTAAGAACGATGCAGTTGTAGACAGTGTTGCTCAGTGACAGGTATGTTGCTGACCCTGACTGAATGTTAGAAAACACGAGATCATATGATTATTTATTGTTGATATAAGAATGAATTTGGATTGAACACAAGATGTAAGGAAACACCAAACAGGATTGAACAACAAGTGTCAGCTGTCAATCACATACATTATTGGGAAAGAAGCAGATTCTACAATTCTGAAAAAGTATAACAACGCCAAAAAAAAAAAAAAAATCGTCCTTGGGAGAAGTAGGCAAAAAGAGAAGTAGATTGTATCCAAAGACTTTGTAATGACATATCAGGTAACAATGTGTGCGACGTGTAATAAAACGCAAAAAAGTGTTAAAAAAAAAAGTAAAAACAAAAATTGTTAAAACTCATTTTGAAGATATTGTTAATTTTAACAACTAAGATAATAGCTTGAGTGCATAACGACTCCCCGATTTGCTGTTGCCATACATTACTATGCACATGGCACCGCCTACATGACAGATCAATGAAAATTCAAAAAATTAACTTACTGACAAGCGATGACATGTCTTCGCTTGTCACGAAATTCATAACCTTCGCTACATCCAAACCACATCACTACGATTTCGTGAGGGTCAGATACGCAGCAACACCTGTTTACGAGAAAGTAAACAAATCCTTGCAAGCTGATTGCTTCAGAGCAGGTTACATGATGTACCACAGCACATAGCGAGAAAACTGTCAGTCGCTTATTTGCAGTCAGAACTGTAACGAGTTCTGTCTCATTAGCCATGTCTAAAATGTACACCTGTAAGCATAATTCCATGGCAGACACTCCTGCGTCTGTTGGAGCCTGCCTGCCTGGTTGTGTCATTAAAATTTGTTGCTCAGAAAAGGGTTAATCACATATACAAAAAACAACAACAATGGGTGAAGTATATGGGCAGCTCATAAACTACTAGGATATCCTCTGCTTTATTAGCGATGTCCAAAATGTATGCATAATTCAATCCCAGATACTCCTGGGTCTGTTGGAGCTTGCCTGTCCGGTTGTGTCATTAAAATTCATTGCTCAGAAAAGGGTTAATATACAAAAAAACGAATGGTTTAAGTATAACAGCAGCTCATAAACTAACAGGATATCCTCTGCTTCTGGCTACCATCAGAGACCATTATCTAAGCTAAAAAGTCAAACACCTCTTTCATGATATAATCTAAAGGCTAAAAATGTCCTGGAAACAAACTCATAAGTACACACACCTTTGTTTGGCAGCATTCCAACATTTCATGGATATCACGCAATCTTTCTTCACTTTGATATTGCACTTTTTCTTCCATATCCGTTATCGCTTGCTTCAAATTTTCTACCTCATTTTGATGCAATTCTGTTAAGTCATTAACTTGTTCTTCAAGACGTTCACTTCGAAAGCGTTCCTCTTGCAATGCTTGGCTGAGAAAGGATACTTCCTGTTGCAATGCCTGCTGCAACACATTTGGAAATGAAATTTTCTCGGATTAAAATATTTGAGAAAATAAGGAGAAATGTTCCAAAAAATAACATTTCTTCATACCTTCATTCCCTCTATTTCCTCACGCATTCTATCAAATTCTTCACGTCGTTCTTGCAATTCTGTAAGGATAGGGTCCAAACTAAATGTTGTGGCTACATGGACAGGAGGACCATGGTGGTGTGGAGATGTCTGTACAGGAGGCAAACTCTCACTTGTCACAGAACTGCACTCAGAGCCCTCTTCAGAGGCATACTTGATTAGACCTGCACTAGAGGAGGCATGGGCAGATGCAGAAGCAGATGCAGAGCCCAGCCCACAGCCTCCAGGCAGAGTTGCACTGCCATGGTGAGTCTTCTCTTCATCTACAGAACTGCTATCACCGTTTCCTATGGATATTAGAAAAGTATAATTACTGTAAAAATATAAACAGCAACTTATTAGAAAAGAAAGTCATCAACTCACTTGATAATGAATTGATGTTATCAGCACTCCCAAACTTATTTTTGATAAGGTGTGCAAATTCCCTTGGTTTTGACATAACAGTCCTATGAGAAATAAAAACAAGAAATAATATAGTAATGTCTTTGAACAGATCATTGTAAGTTTCCTTAAAATATGGACAAAAATAAAAGATGTGTGCACAAAAATATTATTATGTCCTTTAAACAGAACTTACATGCAGCTGCCAACCATTGTTTAAAAATTGAAAACAGTACAACTCCAATTAACCAGATCTTCCAATTATCTGGATAGATTTCTTACTAGTTTTCCAAGATCACATCATGATTGGAGTTTTTTAGGGGGAAAAAAAACCACACCGTAAAGTTATGGTGCATTTTTATTAACTTATACATAATTTTCTTTCCCAGCTCTTTGTATTTTATCCATTTCATTTAGGGAAAAATCCAATAATATGAAATTTCTATTTATAAGGATCACCACCGCCCCCATTAATCTGGATAATTGGTGTTCTACTGCACATGAAGACAGCAAATGAAATCCTTGAGCTAGAAAAGAGTTTAGAGAAGAGAATAAAACTTGTTTTTCGAGAGAGAAATTAAAGCAGTAGAACACTTCCTGATTAACTTCCACTGAATACAGAATACATATACACATGCAGAATACACATGAACACAGAATGAGCATTCATTGAATTTCTCAACAATTCAAATTAGGAACATTATACAATTTTCTCTCTGACACAACCATCAAATTTAAAAATTTGTGCATATTTTAACAGTTATTCATTTAACATATCTTATTTAGAACTCTTACATTTAAAAACTGTAATAATTTTGTATATTTCCTTACACAGTGGTTTAGATAAAAGCTTTTTTAACTAGCCCTTTTCAGAAAAAAAAAAAATTTTTAATAGTGAAAATAGTAAATTAGCTAGAAATAATTTGAAAGAAGAAAGTTGTGTGAAAAATATTTATGTTGAACAATGTAATACCCTGACTGATTCATGAGAGAGTGTATTAACAATTAGGGTACAGTGGGCCCCAGTGACATGAATGAAAGGGGAAGTTAAGGGAAGGGCAACTCTGTGACTGACATACAACATACACAGTAGTGAAAAGGATTCAGTGACTAAGAGCTATGCGGAGGGAGAACAAGCTGCACAATACAAACTACTTATTTTACAATCAATGAGGGCTGTTTATAAATTAATTATTGTGAGTTACAATAGAATGGACATAGAATGGACAAATAAGACAGAAGTGCTTGAGGAAACAGAGTTCAAGAATCACAATTTTTTTATTAGACCTAAAAGTAATTTGTTTATAAGTTATTGACTGATTGATTTATTATTGTGTGCTTCTTCACATAAATGGTCATTAGTTTCATAAGTGTAGTGCATGTTAATTTGCAGGAAGTTGCAGTGTTCCTACTCACTTGAACATGAGATATGGTAATGACATATACGTCGATTTCCTACACATATATCTTAGGAAACATGGGATTTCCTTTCTCCAACCATCTTCACCAGCAAGGCATCGCAACCCCTTGCCCTACCTCAGACAAGCTTTAAGCTCCTAACTAGTCTTCCAACATGTGTGGTAGTGCAAGCGTGTGTGTAAGGGGGTGGAGACAACAAGGAAAAGGAAGGAAAGATTGTGTGTGTGCGGTCTGTAGCTGGTTTGTTATGACTGGAATTTTTCTAATATTAATTAGAGAAACCAATAGCTCTGCACTTAATGTCATTCTTACAAACCAAGACTTGTGTGCAATTTAAGTAAATGTATTAAAAGAAAACTTTTTCAAGAGGATCATAGCAATCTCCAATGTTTTTAAGGAACACTTTCACAAAACCTCTACCTTTCCTATTTTTAATAAAATGTTGAAATCCATTTCAAATGTTCCAAACATTGCCAGACAAAATCACCAGAAAAAATAATAGCACACTTATTTTGAAAGAAGGAAATTGAAAATAAAAGGACCCAACACTGTCAGAAGAGGTACTAGAAACTTGAAAAAGCTAAAGAAAGAAAGGGGGGAAAATCTGTAACAAGATAGATATAAATTTGAATTAAAAGAAATTTCACTTGAATCAAAGAAAAACTGGACTGTACAAAAAGTGACAAATAAGTTTGCTCACCCTGACAGACCTGTAATACCATCACGTATGTTGCCTCCAACATTTCTGAAAAGGAAATAGAAAACATAACATTGATCTCAACAATACAAAGCAACAAACAACAAAATACTCCAAAGCAAGACAACAGACAAAAGCGAAAGAGTACATCAATTTCAAGGTTTCACTAAAAAATGAAGTATGATGTTAAACTAGCATCAAGGTATTCAAACTTTTTAAAGATTGAACTCCTTACACAACTACACACAAATGTTTTAATGTATTCCTGTAACAAATTATCCCAACTGATGGATCATTAATATGATTATCTGGTTAAATTATTGACTGAATTACATTTTATTATTACTACTGAACTATACTTAGCAAGTAATTTATCATAAAATAACCTTTACGATGTCATTTATATCTCATAGCTTAGTATATACGGAGTATTATGTAGTATCAAAATATGTTATAGTGTAAAAAAGTAAATTGGGAGTTTGATAGAAAAAGAGCTGGGGGGGGGTGCTTTATGTGAAGCCCCTAAAACATTTGAAATTTTTTGAAAAAAATGTCCACTCCCTCCTGATTGTTTTTTGTTTTGTGAAAGTTTTGTTATTAAATGTTGCACATAATAATATTTATGTACCATTTCATATTTTTTCAGTTGTTTATAACTAATAAATATTTACACGTTTTAAAATGTTTTGTAAAAATTCTTAACACTGGGTAATATAGAAGTTAACTTTGAGTAGGTTAAGTAACTAGTAGGTAAAATCACTGGCTATTACCAAAAAACATTTGGAAAACTCTGGCTAACAATACTCCGAATGGCTTATTTGATTAAAACTATTAAGGGACAAAAAATTTAAAAAAGGGAGAATATGTAAGTGTTTTTAAATTAAACTAATACATGAAGTACCAGTATGTCATCAGTACTAAAGCTACAGAAAGTAAATTAATATTTTGTTGGAAATTTTCTCTAAAGAGTTTACTCTACAAAATATCCTCAATTGTTCATACATTTTTAACAAAAATGTGTGTATGTGGTGATGGGAGCTTTAGTGTTTAAAGGTGAATGGTCTTAATATTATCATGGCAAGATATTATGTTAAATGTTGATCAGCTCCATAAACAGAATTTTCATGCATTTTATCAGTACTTCTAATGCACATAAGTACTAAATTAAACTTCCTAAACCTCTTACTTTACATATATTCTGCAAGAACATATCAAATTATACAGCATAAACGATTCACTAATTGTATTCAATGAAATATTGCTTAATTTATGTTGGGCTACAATGTACATACATTGGTTTCACTTTTAGAACATCCTTACAACACTGTACTGGAGGGGCACCCTTGACCTCCAAATGTACTCAAACACACGGTGGTGGTGGTGGTGGTTTTTTGAGATACTGATTTGACTTTGAGGACTGAGATTGAAATACACAATAATAATCAAAATTACCTTCTTGCAAAATTGTAAATCTAGAGTATACTTTGACTTTACAGTTAAGTGGTTAAATTCTTATTCAATCTTCCCATAATTCCCCACCTTCCCATAACCCATAAGAATCCTCTAAAAGTCTACCACACACTCCTAGGGATGCACACACCCAAATTTGAAAACCTCTGATTCTACCAGATTTAACACTTATCATGTATAAAAGAATTAAAACTTAATCATACTTCTTGACTTGTGATGTTCAATAAATTGAGCTAATGTGAAAAAGTGTTTTTTACATATTTAACAATTTATTAAACCAGTAACAATTTACTAAACCATTTTTGTACACACATTTGTTAACACTATCAAAACATACATGTAAAAAAAAATACATGGATGCTCCACTCCAGATCCAAGTGGCTGAGTACCATTCAGCAATAAAGAAAACTGAAATTCTAAACTTCAAAAACACAGTACAAGGATTGTTTATTCAGTTACAGTAGAATAAAAATGTATGCAGGAACTCCACTCTTCCTCCTAATAAAGAAACTAAGCGATAAAACCAACAGTGATGGAATATACTGCACACTTTCTTGTACCATCTGAAATTTCTTAATAAAATAAGATTATAATATTTAGTTATATTTAGCTTCACACACTACCAAATTTCGTGCACTGTCCAATTTCTAACATGTTCTATGACCAACTTTTAAAATGAAATTCAACTTTTTTCTGCATAAACCATGAATGAATTATAAGCTTTATTCAAGCATCTAGAAAGTTTTAAAAAATTACTAGTAGTCTGTTGCTAAAAAAAATTAACACACAAATTGTTTTTCCAGGAAGGAGCATGTACACGCTGTTCAAGAACGGCAAATAAAATATTTTTATAACACTTCAACAAACTGAATATTTTACAAAAACATCTTCACAAGTGCTGCAATAACATAATACAGAATATAGAATACACAATATGAAAGTTCTTTACATACCACAAATGTCAAAAGTTGCTATTTATAACGCTATGTGAATAGCAAATATTTAATGGCATGCAGCCTCTTACTTGGAACCTTGTTGTCACATGACAAAATACTTGATTCAATGCTACGAGTAAATAGAAGGTTGCCTATACATAAAAAGGTCTGTTTCCATAATATTATCAAATTCATTATTATTACATAACTTTTGGGGAAATTCCAAATAGATCATTTGGAAGAAAGGAAAGGTTTTTGAACAGGAAAGAAAGCGAAGGTAATGAGCCTAATGCAGGTTTCTTTGCATTGAAATCTTTAATTTGTGATTATGATGGCAAAATATCAGAGGACGAGAATATTTGTCAATTTCAGAATGTTCCACCTTTGATAACATTACACTTAATATCAAACACATAGGGCCACCATTTGATGTTGCTTTATCTGCTGCTCGTAGAATTGTGTATAAACTCTGGAGAAATATACAATGTAGGCTTTCTTTTTCCCGCGTAGCCGAGGTCAGTGTGGTGATTTGATCGCATCATGATCGTATTGATCAGAGGATACTTGATCGAAATTGCAGGGCACATGCCTTTTGCGTTTTACTGCTAAGTATAAAATGTTTGTGTAGGTTCGCGACGGACCTTAGTTGTTTGCCAGTTAGGCGATTTGTTTAGTCTTGTTTGTGACTACGTCATTTTAGTTTGTGTTTTGCTCTATGCCCTTAGTATGTCTGAGGGGAGAGCTTGTCATCTATGCCCTATGGTAAGAACATGTTTCTGAAAAATTATTAGCGTAGCCGGAGCTTCTTCTGATTGAAAGGCTTGGTAGGCTTCATTGAATGATAGCCGTCTCAAGCATTGAGTGAAGGACTCGATATTAAGTTCCTTCCTCAGTACTTTCAGTCGTTTCCGAAACGGAGGGCGAGCTACGAGTCTCAGAACTCTATTCTGAATTATCTCAAGTGTGTCCTTGTACTTTTGTGCTGTGGTCCAACATGTTGCCGCGGCGTAGGTGGCCACTGACCAGAAGCATGTTTTATAGAGTGCCAGGCGAAGATCCAAGGGTAGACAAGGTTCCTTGAGGGGAGGTTTTAGAAGACGGACCCTTAGGTGGTTTCGAGCGGATTCATCTGACGTAAGTGCCAGCGTATGCTCCGGTCGAAAATGACACCCAGGTAAGTTGCCTTAGGTGCCCATTTGAGATTTTGCGTTCCGATTTTGATTTGCTTGGGTGGCGTGAAACGCTTTGTATGTTTGTGTTTGCGGCGAGAGAAGCAGATTGCCTGAGACTTTTCCGCTGAGAAAGTCAAGTGGTTTTCTTGTGCCCACTTCAGAGTCAGGTACATCTGTTTTTGTAGTGTTTTTAGTTTATAATTCAGGTTCATTCCTCTTGCAAGGACTGCTATGTCGTCAGCATACAGGAATAGCCTAATCCGTGGTATCTGTGGTATGTCATTGACATATAGCGAGAACAGTAGAGGGGAGAACACGGAGCCTTGGGGGACTCCGGCAAAAATCCCGCGATTTGAGGATCTCGCTTTGCCCACTTTGACCACAAAGGTGCGGTTTGTGAGAAAGGATGCAATCATATCTGTTACATCTTTAGGCAGGCTTTGTCTTAGTTTGGAAAGAAGTGAATTGTGTGGCACTTTGTCGAAGGCTTGTACCATGTCGAGGTATTTGACTGGTACATCCTGCGAGAGTAAGAGGTCAGTGGAGATCTGCTGGGCCATACATAGTGCCTGGAGTGAGGCTAAATGTCCCGGTCGGAAGGCAAATTGCTCATCCCGTATAAAATTTTGCGAGATGATAGCTGGTTGGATTCGCGCAAGGATTAGCTTTTCGAAAACTTTCCCCACGATTGGGAGCAGGCTGATAGGCCTATGGCTCATCACGAGGGTAAGGTCTTTACCTGGTTTCGAGAGCATTGAAATACTTGCATGTTTCCAGCTTTCCGGGAAATAACGTAGTGTGATGCAGCAGTTGTAAAGGCGTGTTAGATCAGAACTAATGATCGGTAGCACTTCTTTCAGGATTGGGGACCGATCTGGTCGGGGTCCGGTGCCTAGTGACTGCGCATGCTTGAGATAGTTTGTGTGATTTCTTGGATAGTGCAGTGTGTGAGTACTGTGTTGTGTTGTGTTGAGGTGAGTATTGTGTTGTTCCATCTCCATGGTAAATTGAATTCTTATGGAGATGGAAAAAGATAAACAACTTGCGTTCTTAGATGTTTTGGTCAACAGGAATCCAGATGGCTCCCTTGGACATACAGTTTACCGGAAACCTACACACACGAATCGTTATTTACATAAAAACTCAAATCATCATCACGGGGCAAAAACGCGCTATGATCAAAACCCCTTAGTACACGACCGTACTAAACGCATTTGCGAACCCCATCACCTACCCGAAGAACACCACCTCGAGAAGGCCTTACAAGTCAACGGGTACAAGCTCAGCGAAGTAAGACGAGCTCTTCACCCAAAGAGGAAGATGAACAAAACCACACAGAAGATACTCTACTCGGTACAGTCTTTTTGCCCTATGTGCAGAGGGTAATGGACCACATAAGATGACTGTTAACTAGACACAGGGTTAAAACAGTCTTTAAACCCACCCAACAACTCCGTAACATTTTACGTTCGGCCAAAGATCCCCAGGATCACATGTCTTTAGCTGGAGGAACAGAAAATACACGGTTTGAGGTCCCCTGATTTCAAAAAACTGTTTGTTTTTTTTTCTTTCTTTTTCTTTTCTTCTCCTTCTTCTTTCAAAACGTTCGTCCAGTATATGTAAACATAAGCATCTAAACTTGCAATATGATTTCTTGCAAATTGAATGAACCCACGTCAATCTGCCCTGCATCAATGCTCTGTGATTTTGAAAAAAAATCATTAATTTTTGGGAGTACTTAACATGAAGCACCAGGGACGTTTTTAAAATTTTCTCAAACATGGCTCCAAATATTTTCTTTAAATTTCTTGAAAGATTAGAGTGAAATACACTTATAAAGATGGCATAGGTCCGATTTTCACTGATACCTCTGAATTACTGAAAATTGCCAAATATTGAAATTTTTTCAGTCTTCCTACAACTACAAAATTGAAGATGGAGATTTTTCTTTCAATTTTTTTTCCCCATGATTACTGATTGTTTAGACCAAACAGAAGTTTTTGAAAATTTTGTTTTTGCGCAATAGTGCATCCAATATGTGCAATATTAAAAAATAATAAAAATAAATTTCCCCAAAAACGGCTCCAAATTTTCCTTTAAAATTTCGGTAGGGATAGTGCTAAATATGGTCTGAAGGATGACAAACATAATTTTGCTCTATTCTTTCAATAATCATAAAATTGTAAGTTTTTTGACTTGTCCCTTATGTTGTTAATATTTACAGAATAAGCGACTTGTTCACATTATTGCATTTATGAGTACATGCGCTTTAAATTATATTGTAAAAAGTTTCCCAAAAACTCAACAGTTTTCTGTGAAAATCAGCTCGAAATTCCGCATTTTCAGACACAGACAAACCCCATTTTCTCAAACTTTTTGAACAGGCACTGCTAATTGCACTGTTTAACACAATATAAAATACATTTTACGATATTATTTTGTTTTTTTTTAATTACACAAATGTATTTTTTTAACATCTCATATGCAGAGTGACAGAGAGAGAGAGAGAGAGACGAAAGAGATAGTGAAAGAAAGAGAGAGAGAAAGAAAGAAGAGAAAGAAAGAGAGAAAGAAAGAGAGAAAGGGAGAGAGAGAAAAAGAGAAAGGAGAGAGAAAAAAGAGGGAAAGAGAGAGAGAAAGATGAGAAAGAGAGTGAATAAAAGAAAAGAGAGAGAGTTGATAGAAATAGAGCAGAAAAAAAATTAATAGAATTCTTATCATGAAAATAACTAAATCTCTTATGAGTATCAATGATGGCTATGAGTATGAATGATCAATGAGTGTTTTATGAATTCTATAAAATTAAGTATTATAAAAAAAATGTAGACAATTTACATATACTCAATGTGGTACAATTTACACGGCCACAAAAATCATACAATATCAGAATGCCTTTATATCAATAACTAAAATAAATTCAAGTCCCAAGATAGCTTAATGTTTCCTGATTTGTGTGAAATTTTAAGCTGCATATCTGTCTGAAACAGCAAAGAGCACGCTGCTTGGACAACATGGATTTCCTGCCAACCCTCCACGATGTCACTTGGCATAGACACAGGCCTTCCCTTCTAGAGGTAGCTGAGGTAATATATGCGATATCACTGAATAGTGTCAAGAAGGAAAGAATGACAAATAAGAGCTTATAAAAAATTCTGCAAATAAAGAAGATAGTTAATGAAATAGTAACATACCAAAGAAAATGGCAAGAACATGTAAAAGGAATGAATCCAAATAGAATCCTAAAACAAATTCTGATTTAAAGACCAAGTTCAAGAGGAAAGAGAAGTGGGCACACCTCAGCAGTGACTCGGAGAATGCTGGATTCAAAAGTACAGGCCTCCTCTCTTCATGTCGTAAGTTCTTGTACGCATAATAAAAACCAAACTCTTAACTTTCACTATTCCAGAATTACTCACTTTAATCCTTGGCCCATATCCCGCAGTACTTCACGTGGCTGGCGATGGCTGCTGGGGAGTCCATGCACCTCCAAGTCACGCAGACGTTTGTTGTAACTTTCCAACTTCTTTTGTAGCTGTGAAATCGACTGAGCTGATTTTTGATTTTTCTTTTCAAAAACAGCCTTGATGCGTAACAACTGCTGTTTATCCGCATTGGCTGCTAGTTTCAAGTATTCATTTACATTGTCTGTGAAGATTGAAAATTAAATGATTACTTTAGAGATAAGCTAACAATTACACATGAGTATAGATTGAAAGAAAAGTACCATCTCTTGTAGTCTGCTCTCCACGAATGAGGTCTTTCGTTCGTCCAATCTTTGACTGCATGTGCTCTATAGCAGCCCGAGTGCGAGAGATGTCACACTGAAGATGACCATCAACATCATCCAGCCCTGCAATCACTTGCTCTGAAGAGCCATTGGACATTACAGAGGATGATGCTGGACAGATATCCTGGAAAAGAAAAATCACTGGCATCAAATTTAGGGAAATTTCGAGCCAAATACATAGCATCCCAATACATACTACAATTCAGTATTATACCAAGGATATGCTTTATCCTGAATGTGGCCACTGAATTTTCAATGGTATTCCTTGATGGTTGGGATGCTGGGCATTTGTAAGCTCAAAGTTATAAACATTACTCCATTTCCTCTTCTCCCATAGTCATACCACTGTGCCTCAACGTACACACATACAATCCCACACACACAACCCCATCTGCACACCAGCTCACAAAAAGTATCTAGGTATGACCATGCAAAAAATATTGGTAATCGTTAGGGTGATTCAAAAAAATATCACTTTTGAATTTTTGATAGTGCACCCCTTCCTAGCACTTGAAATTTATAAAAAAGATGTGAGAACAAAGAAAAAACTAGATGCACGCACACGCACACACACGCACGCACACACACACACACCCGCACGCGCGCGCACACACACACACTTCTTCCTCATTAAGTTTTCACTCTGGCACAAGTTTAGAAATTCAGCTCATATTTCACTTTTAATATTAATCATTATTATTAATTAGATCGCTGGTGAGGTAGACACCTATTATTATGATAAATAAAGATGTTGTCTAGTATCAATAACTTTTTTATTAAGCTTACGATCGTTTTGATCGCATAGCGATCATCCTCAGATCTTGCAGCTTCCTTCTGCCGAACTTTGTTTTCGGCCCGGTAGCTGCAATCTCTGAGGATGATTGCTATGTGATAAAAACAATCATAAGCTTAATAAGAAAGTTATTGAACCCAGACTACATCTTTATTTATCACAATCATTTTTAGTATTTGTTTTTAATTACAGCAATTACTGTGCACTTTGTTTTGTTTCTAGTTCTCTTATACATATACAAGGCTTGAAATTTGACAATTAAAAAGCTGTCCAGTGGGACAAATTGCCAAATTGTGATGCCCCTTGGGAATGATTAAAATGCTTCTGTGAGCCATGGTACACTGTGCAAAACCAGTGACCTAAGCAGAAACAACAATCTCTCTCACCAGATCTTCTTCAGGCCCACTGTGTGCAGCTCTCTCCTCCTCAGAACCCTGAGCAGAGAGTCCTTCCTGCCTTATGGGTTGAGAGGCATTGGCGCTGGCACTGTTACTAGCACTGGCACTAGCGCTGGCGCTGGCACTGGCACTAGCGCTGCTGCTGGAACCAGGGGCTCCATCGGCTGAAGGAACTTTGTCCTTCCTTAGGGCCACAGGTGACTTACGCCTGCTCTTCACTGAACCACTCATCGCAGGGCCTATTCCGCCCCCACTGCCACCACCACTTCTTCCCCCTTCACCACCACCTCCTCCTCCGCCACCCCCACTACTTCCACTGCCACCACTGCTGGCATCCGCCGACCGTTTCCTGCAACATACGAGTGTAATGAGACACATACCAAATAAGTACTTGTCTAGAAAAACAACTATGTAAAATACAAAAGAAGAAAATAGCAAATTAACAGCAAGGCAGATACTGCAAAAGATGTGAGTTACTAAGAAGAGAAAAACATGAAGTTTGTGAAAGGTATCCACAGAAAAGAATGACAATGACTGTACAACCGACAAAATATAATATCAGCCCATAATTCAACATGAAGCAGTGGCCGGTAGATCGACAATAGTAACTGGTCAGAATACTAATTTACAAGTGCCATCACAAAAAACATTTATCATCACCATCTACTTACTCCATATTAACACAAATGAAAAACAATAAATTATGCTTTTGTTTACTGTACAAGCAAGAGTGGATTTTACTAACTTTTCAGAATCTCTGAACATGCAATTCACACAATCAATGCAGTGGAGAAAAACAAATTATGCATCGAAATTGCATTTTCCTTTTAAAACTCGCTATTCAACTATAATGATTTAGTTGTATTTGGAAACACTTAAATCACTTGCTGAATCTGCTAAGGAGCTAAAAAATTACTTCAATCTTCTACGCTTTAGTTCTTTCTTAAAATGCTTTTTTTCTTACAAATAGGAAACAGGTACATGGAGCAAACAAAATTGATTTTGAATTTTTTTGTTTTACATTTCTTGTTAAAATTCATAATAAACCAGACCTTCAAAATGTGAAAGAATTAGTTATTTTCAGTATCAATATTGCTTCTCTGAGATTTCATGGAATTTCCTGCCCCCAGATAATTTAATTTCAACACTAGAGATTGTAGAAAAAGAAAATATTTATTTAGGATTATTTGATCCAAACTCTTCTCAAGCAAAAAAATTTTAAAATTTCAAATAGAAGCAATGTAGAGTAAAAAATATTCAATATCTTAGAAAATGTTTCAGAAATCCAGCATTGCACAGGCATCTTTTTATAATAATCATCTATTGGCCTACATAGCCATGGCCAGGTTGTAAAAATGCTTCTCACTAACACCAATAACACATTCTTCATGTATTTAGCCCGCTAAACATGAAGATTAGCCAAATTTACAATTTTTATCGGTTAATATCAAATTGAAGTGCCCCATATTCCTTGAAAATTTTTCACCATCTATTAGGCAGTATTCGAATAGAGAGAATATCTATTCCCACCCTGTTCCCTCTCTTCTATTTATTCTGCTGCACCCCAGACCCCCCCGTGAGGACTTGTCCCACCTCAATTTGCTCTTACCCCCAAACCCCTAGTCTACTTCACTCATTTTCTAACAAATATAAATTACCTTTACTCATGTCTACACTTGTGGAATTTTATAATATTCTTCACTAATTAATTCTTCAATTACAAGTTATACTTCCGCCTCACGATAACACATAAACATTTACAATTCTCTGCACTCAATCCACTTGTTTGTTAGTGTATTTTAACAATGGGTAAGCTACCCCACAGTTAGGCCGCAATGAATAAAACTACTCCACACTTTTTGTGGCAAAAGCAGCACGTTTTGGGGTAACACTTTGAATTGCAACTACACAATGTTTGTTTCTTTGCCACTCCAGAATATTCACGTCAAATTTGTGAGTGCTCACTCCTGTGGCACTAATTTATTGTGACACCATTGTAAACTTCTCCTCTTTTATATAACAGACACTAATCAACTTATTAAAATTATGATTTACACCCCATACAACTATTAACTTCATCAAGAGGACTTTTTTTATTTAAATACAGTTTTATTACTTGGGATTACCACCAATATTAATAAAATCAATTTTAAAAAAATGGAAATTGAAATATTCAAAAATTTATTTTTCTAAAAGTTTGCCTAGTGGTTTGGTGGTGAAGATCTTGATATTTTTTCTTCCTAAAATGAAAATAATTTTAATCTATATTAGAAGTTTAGTTTTCTTAGCTAAAATCAAACCAATTTAATTGATGGAAGTTTTACAAATTGGCCTAAGAAGTATTAAGCCACAATCATGTGAAGAAATCCCTTTCCTAAATACAGTTACAATTTTACAATTATTGCTTTCGAAGGCTCTTGATGGACTAGAAACTACCTGGACAATCACTCCCTTCTTCATGATCAACATCATCTTCTGCGTCATTGCTGTCTTCTTCTTTTTTATCTTCACTGTCTTCATCTGCCTCGTAATCTTCATCTTGTTCTTTATAATCGTAATCATCTTCTTGTTCTTCATAATCTTCTTTTGTGTAATCTTCACAATCCTCTTCATCATCATCACCATATATCATATCATATCATATCATATCATCATCATCATCATCATCATCTCCTTCTTTTTCTTCCTTAATACTAAACTTTTCATTTCAATTACTCGACAATACTCCTTTTATTAAGGCAACAAACCTTTTCCAATATTCCTTTTCAAGTTTCAGTTTTTGACACTATGTTTTGGTTTTGAATAGTTCCTTATTTTTTTATAGTTTTCTAAAAACACATGTTGTAAAACATATTATTGCGCACCTCTGAAATATGAATCAAAACTCAATATCTCTCTTTTCATTTATTACTTTGCACAAAATAAATATCATCAAAGTGCCTGACTAAAATTATTCTATTATATAATTATATAATTTCTACAAGGATTCTTGGGCCTAAGTTAAAAAGAAGCAGAACCTCCATTTGTGGGATATCATGATCTTGTTTGTTTCATAATGAAAATGATTATATGAAAGAATTGGAAGAAAATCATCAGTGACACGAGTTTAACTTGCAACCTCAGGATAATTAAATTTATCATGAGAAACTTGAGAAAGAGAACATTCCTGTCATTACCCTAATTTCTGCAAGTCCTTTTCATTCTGAAGAATCTAATACAACAAAAGAGAAATCTTATCTTTTAAAAGAACTAGAAAAATGACCGAGAACTCTTCTACATCATCGTTTGCAGTATGGATAATTTTCAAAATGCAAATATAGCCTAATAATAATATAAGTTATAAATATATAATAATAATAATAATAATAATAATAATAATAATAATAATAATTTATAAATAATAATAATAATAATAATAATTTATAAATAATAATAATAATAATAATAATTTATAAATAATAATATAAGTTATACAAAATTATGAAGATCTTTTAAAAAGAAAAGTAATTTCATTCTGTTACAGTGTTAAAGCAACATATTTAATGAAACAATACCTCTTATGGTTTCAATCTCTCTATTGGAATTGTTTTTAAAGTTTTGGATTTGATGCCTTGATTTCATTAGATTAAAATTTTCAAACTTCACACAGATCCTGTGAAGTAGAGTAAATAGTTTCCATACAACTATTTCTCTTTTTTAGTTCACAGAAAGACACCTTAGCGTCTCAAAAGAATTATTTAATTTAATGTTCCAAGCATATTTAGTTAAATAAAAAGAAGTAATGTCTTATCAAAAAATTGCACAGCAATTCAGCAGCCTTGTTAGTTTCTGAGCAGCTCACATGTTTCCTTTACAATTTTCCATTGTGATGCAAGTGCAACGAAGCAGCAAACTTTTCCACAGATCACAAAAAATTGAACTTGCTTTGATACAGTATAATCTTTGTTGAAAAGCAATCAACACGTGAACATTTCTGAACCAATTACTCATTCCAAATTGCTTTAATTGAAAGTAGGATTTACCTCAACCTCCCAAATGCATGCAAAACCTGTATTAAAAAATCAACTTATAATCATGCTTAGTTCAAATGAAATACCAGATCGAATCAAACAAATGATCCATTAATTAACAGATTTTAAAAAAATACTCTATTCAGTGACTCTATTGAGTATTTAGTTTCATGCAAATAACAGTTTTCTAAATCTTCTTCAATTCTGACTCAGTTAAAATTTAACTGGCATATACAATGTATGCGATTATGTTTTATACATTCATGTATTACATTACATTGCATTACATTACACTCATGAATCCAAATTCAAATAATATTGATTCACTCTCTATAGACAATGAAATAAAATTCAAAATTCAATATCTTTCAATTTTCTCAACTTTAAAATGACAGTTTCAGCAACTTTTTCAAGAAATACTATACTCAATACACAGTATAAGTAAACAGTACAAGAGGTGGTGCAATTGAATTTTTATCGACAGAAGGTAGAAGACTGCAAAAGTGGACAAGCCAAGTACACAAGTATAGTCTTAGAAATTGAGTTAATTCAGGAGAAATGCAACGTCAATAAAAAGGAAAGAATCAAGCAAGGCAGTTGTGAATACAGTTGTCAGATACTGACATGCACTTCATTCTCCTGACTGAAAATGTACAGCACTCTTCGAAATTATGAAAACAAAACATGCATACAATTCTTGGGATAAACTAAGCTATAAATACCATGTAGAAGGGGATGACATGCCCTTCACAATAGTTGCCGTTCTGAAGACATCAACATATGTCTGAAACAGAACATGCCTCTTGGCAATGACTTGAAAGCTTATTTATCTACATTCCATATCCACAAGTGTTTTGTTAACATTCCAATTGCACAAGATGACAAGCATTAAAAAAATAATAAAAAATCCTCATCAACTGACTATTCTTCATGACACTGCAAACCTATTAATTACAATCTGAAATTATTTTAAAATGTCCTTCTAGCAGCTGGATCTCCTAGAAACTTCTTTCTCATTCTGTGATGAATATCCCTTTCTGCCTTGTGTGGACACATTTTGGGGAGCACTTGATCAAAAAAAAGAAGTCGAAAATCTTTTACAACAATATTCTTAGGTACAGAATTGAGCATTGAAAATATATTACCCAAACCAGTTTCAAAATAACCATTACCAGATAACTGGAAACTGAAGACATCCATAACTTCTCATAACCCAAGTTAGTATCCATAGTTACAAGCCGTTCTACTCCAACACCCATTGTGCAAAAAATATGTGTATCCTAACAAACCTGTAAACTCCAAGGAAAGATCCTGGTGAACGATTCATCTTGTTATCAACACCAATTCCTGAAACAATATAATATACATGCTACTCCTGTTCTTTCTTCAATAGTTGAAGAATAAATAGCTTCACAGTAGTTCAGATATTTTCTTGCTGATGAAATAATCTCAGAAGAAACTGTTATTTCAAGAATATTGATGAGTACACACTTTAATTTCACATTTCTTCTCAGCTTGGAGTAATAGAAAAGAACTAATTATAAATTAATAACGCTATTTCACCGAAACAATCACAAAAATATATTTAAAGAAACAAATTTTTTAAATAGTTTTAATATTTTCTTTCTTATGCAAATATTTGGAACCTAATTTATTAGTTTTAAAACCTATTCCAAAAGGTTTCCATAATACTGTAGAGAAAATGAAAGGTAGAGAAAATCTGAAGAGAAACGTGATCTGATCAACCAATCTCTGCAACTAGGTTTTATTTAATAACCACAATAATTATAATAGTAATAATAATATAAACTACTCAATAAAAAAGCATTAATTTTCTCTCTAAATCCAGGAAGGTCGTTTATCATTCAAAATGTACAACATATGTTCTCTTTTTTATTATATAGGGAAAATAGATATCATTTAATTAACAATTCTTACTTACAATTACTGGCATTAACTTCTTTTATCTTATACACATGACCTTTTAAGGCAAATACCTATTTAATTAATTTAGGGGGATACAGGGAATAATTTTTCAACTTCTGAAAAACCAAGCATCCCAAAACATTTAATGGAATGTTCAAGAACATTTGATGCTCACCTAAGCTTTAGATTGCTGAAAACAAGTTCAATTGACTGAAAACAAGTGATTTTTAAGAATTAGCATTCCTTATTTTTAAATGTCTTACATTTAAAAGGTTAAAGATTTGCAGAGACCTTAGTTCGAATCAACAATAAGAGGATAACTACCTTTCATTTGTCTATCAACTGGGAGCTTATAATTAATTTTTTTTATAAAAACCTATCTCTACACTTTAATGACAACTTGCAAGTTCTTTTCAGATGTTACAACAATTTTCCCTGACAAGTAACATACTTTAACCAAACAAAATTCTTGGCAATATATCATACTGCTAATTTCAAAACTGTATAACATGATCCTTTTTAAACAGTCCATTTATTAACATAAAAACACCTACATTACATACTTTCTTTTAATTTAAGAAATTACTAATTTAATAACCTATTAGAAATTGTTCAGTTTAACCACTTCAACTGCAACTGACATTGAATACAAATGACTATAATTTTGGGAAGAAAACATGATATAAATTTTGATTGAAAATATGATATAAAAATATTTTAACAATGGATTGCAAATGATGTACCCATTTGTATGTACTCCCTCCTCATTTATGCTCACATTTTCCATTTTTTCCCCATAAGGGTTTACTGATTTATCAATACATCTACGTTTGGTTTTGTAGTCTTCGAAGCAGTACAGAAGAATATATACAAAAGACGGTGTAATGGACAAACAAAGTTGAACAAGTAAGACAAATGACACATTTAAGATTTCAAAAATGTATTGCTACAAACATTAATTTAGATTTGCATAGTTTTAAATTATTAGTAAAAATCTAGTGATGAATGTGAAATTGTAAAAAAAATCTAAGAAAGGGGGCAACTTATTCAATTTCCATTTCATACCTAGAAATGAAATTACTATATTCAAATGGTGTAATCTGCAATATATCTTGAATCAACAATGCACCTACGAGTTGAAAAAAATCTATTACAATGTAAAGTATCCTTATTAATGGAAAAATACCTAGAAAATTCCTGAAATAATGGAAAATTATTTCTATATACCAAACTCCTTTTCTGACTTGACATCTTTTAATGAAATAAAAATATACAGTACATACTATGAATTATGTTCTACAATTTAACAAGTTTTTCCAATTGAGAAAAGGCAGTGTATGGCAGGACAGTTGTGAGACAACAGTTCCAGAGGGTTAACAAGTGTAAACAGTATTTTTAACGGAGTGCATCACATGAACAAGACACCACAATTTCTTTTTTTGTAAATTTCAACTCAATGATTTGGTCGGGTATGTATACAATTCTAATTCCTTGTGACTATTCATTAATGTGTGGTAAGAATGATTAAACCATTTGGTAATTATTTATTGTTGAATTTTCCATTTTACCCAATTTTTCAAAAATTGTTTAAAAGCATTTGCGAAAATGTCGTAATTATTTCTATATATCGAAGTTTCTGTACATCCAATATAATCTAAGGAACCATCAGATTTAATGTATGGATGTCCAACTGTATTTAGAGAGAGAAGTTCAAGAGTTTACAAAAGCAACAAAACAAACAACAATTTTAAGTTTTAAATCATTCATTCTTTCTATTCTTCTGTGAAAATTCAAGAAAGAATTCATCAAAGGATCATTTCAAGAAAATGCTAAATGAGTATTTTTGGCATCATAGACAGTTTTGTTTCTGAAACCACATCATTGCATATTACAATAACTCCCTTGTTAAGCAAAAGTGAAAGATCGATGAAAACACACATGATACATTAAATACTGTGATTAACTTCACATATTAACACAAATCTAATAAATTAATTATAAACATACATAGATAAAAAATACATTAGTCTGTTTTGTTCAATGTATTCACTAAGGTATTCCATTCATATATCAACAATGTATTTCAGTACATGACACACTAAAGAAATATATAAAACTGAATAAAACAAAATTAAGATTTGTATGTGCTTTAACATGAGAATTCCAAGGAATGAAATCATTTGCAAAGTCTCCAAGTCATAAAAATTGTACTTTGGTAAAGAGAAAATATTCCATAATTCTACCAATCTCCTCATGCTCTGTTCTACATAAGTAGAATATACACAAACAACGAGCAAACACTGGCCTTCCACTGCTTTCTTGATGCGGTTCCGTGTGAGTCGAAAAACAGTTTAGAAGAATACACTTCATGCAATTTCTCATCAATAATAAGAAAAAGTGTTGAACAATAAATTGCAGTTATGTCAGAAATAAGCAACAACATCTTGCGACTTTTACATTCTAAGCACATGCAACTGATTTTAAAGAAAATATTTGCATTCTTTTTTTAAACTATTCTAGAGTTACTGCATCTTTTTTCTTTTAAAATGCAATCAAACATGCTAGTTAAGATAATTATAATAGATTTTAAGTACATTTAAAATTTTCACTTCATTGTCCAGAAATTTATTGAAGAGTTTATTAAATTATTTTTAAATTTTATTAAATAAAAATAATATTCATTAATTCAAAATTTCACATAATTTTCTTATAATTTAAAATCTTATTTATAATACTGAAATTGTAGTTGCCAGAAATCAATTCATTTGGTGTAACACAATCACTTTATTATCGAATATTACCAAAAACACCAATGCATGTTCATTTATTTTATACGATTATGGCATACAACAGAAAAAAGTATACGTACACACCTTTACATACAATCACAAACATTTACACAAAAACATTCCAAGTTGTTCAAATATTGACTTTGGATACTCACCCCACAACATGTTGCAGAGGGGTAGTGTTTTGTGTCGGAATGTGACCCACGTGAGGACGACACGGAGAAGCACTTCTGCTTGATGATTTGCTACTTCCAGACTGCCCCACCTGTAAACTATCCATTTCTATATAGGGGACACATCATTTCCATATCTACTCATTCTTCTCTTCAACCTGAAAGGAGATACAAACCAGTTTAATTAAAAAAAGAAGGAAAAGCAAAATAAACACAAAAGCAAAATACCTAAACAATCTTAAAAAATTTAACTGGATGGATTCTACAGAGGCCACACATATGAACCACTCTCTAGGAGACAGTGAATTTCAGATAACCTTCTTACTGCCCATAGAGCAGGTAAAGGAGATTTAATTGCTCTCAAAAAAATTCAATTATAGTATAATAAAATTGTACACCTACATATTTTTTAGACTAGTTTTTGGAATGAACTATTTATTTGTAAACAATAATTCAAAAATGATTTATGAACATGTATGTCTTCAAATAAATAGTTTATTCACAAAGCTAGTCTGTCTAAAAAAATAGCAGTATTTTAAAAATTTTGGAATGATTAAGAGGGACAATTTTAAAAATAAGCAAAATCGTTATTGAAAACTAACTTACATTTTTCATGTAATTTTCAAGGATATTTTGTATTATTTAAATACACACAGGAGTATTGTTATCTATTAAATGTCACATAACTGAAACAACATTACCTATAAAGCTTTTATTAACAGATGCAGGGAATTGATACTATTCTAACAAAATGCATTCATGAAATAAGAAATCAATTCGCGGCTACAAGGGCAAAAATAAATCATTTTAAAATAAATTATAAACTTACCATATGTTAATTTTTTATGGACTTAAAATATCTAAAAATAAATTAATCAATACAATTATTGACTTACTACTCTTACACAAGGATTTATTATAGAAATACTTCATCAGAATGAAAATTTTTCAATTTTATACTAGAGTAGCTACAGAATGGCGCAAGCTTTCTAGTACTAGTTTCTTTCATAATTTCTTTAGTCTGGACTAACATTTGCTTTGTCCCACCCTCTTCCCAGCTACGAGGCACTTTCACATTTTTTCAATTTTTTAGTTCCCTCTTAGTAGAATTGGAATGTTACTTCAAAAACACTACACAAGGATAAAAATTGGTCATGTAGGTAAATTTTCAATCACAAATTTTAAGTTATTTATCAGAAAATATCGTTTGAGCATTTCTGAAAATGTGCAATTTTGAGTTCATTTTCACAGAAAATATTTGCATTTTTAATAAACTTCATCTGAAATCATTTGCACAACTTGTACTCGCAAATGCAAAAATCACCTGTAATGTAAATCTTAACAACATGAGATATATTTGAAGAAAGAAAAAAAAAAATTTATGCAATATCTGAAAAGTTGGACCAATGACATATTCTTACGTTTTAAAGCGTCCCAGGGATTTACGTGAAGAACCCCCAAAAATTTGATAATTCTTTTCAAAATTACAGGGTTTCAAGTCAAACCATATTATTCAGGTTTGCAAATATGCTACGAATAGTATAAGCGCTAATGTTGTTTACAGATGGCTATACATTTTGGAAAAGGAAAATAGAGGAGGGAAAAAAAGGAAAGAACAAACAAATAAACACATTTTCAGTACCAAAGCACCCCAAGATCAACTTTCTGTGGCATAACATACCTTCCTCTTTACTACACACATTACACCAAAAAACCCTTGTGTACACAAGAAACTAAAAACATACTTGTTCAGAATTAGTTTCTATAGTCAAATAAACATATACTATGTTCAAACATTGTATCTTGAGATCCCAAATGCTCAATATATTAAAACACAATGTGTAAGAAAATTTAATCACAATGAAACTTAGTAATTTACAGTGGTCCTAATTCTACACTGAAGTAATTTAACAATACTGAACTGGAGCAGAGAACTGGATAGTAAGGAACAAAATGTAGAAATCTTTATCACCCAAAACTTTGGGTGATAATTGGAAATGGAATGAAACCATGAATAGAAATGTATTAATGTGAAACCGAAAGAAAAACAATGCTTTTGTTTGTAACTATTACATTTGAGTATCAAAGAATTCACGACCATGAAGTAAAATTAGGAAATGTTGTTCATGGGATTTGGTTGGTGTGTTGGAAAATTTAAACCATTAGTTTACTGAGATTTCACAATATTTTTATCCCATCCTTTGGACTAGTGTAAATAGCATGAAGACAACATCAATATAAATATACACTAACACAAATCAATGACAATATATAATGTACATATATATTGCATATATAATACGTATAATATAATACACAATACATTATAATATACAATTACACAGTTTGTGAAAGTCTACATTCATACTGATGTTGCCTTCTTGTTTTTTACACCCGCCCTGAGGATGGAATAAAAATATTCCGTTGGCAAAACAATGGTTTAATTTTTCTACTAACTCTGACCAAATCTCATTTGAATAATTCCCAGAAGGGGAATTTAAATTATGGTCTGAAACATTTAAAATTTTAGATGCATGAAAACTGAGAAAAGACGTAACAATAAAATAACCAATAAAATTATTTCATTACTTAATTTGCAACTAAAGATGATACCAAATTTCCATCTAGAATAACAATTTTGTAAAAGCAGATTAGTTGGATGTTACTGAGCAGTGAGAAAACATGTTAATGACAATTACAGTTAATAATAATACTTCATTTAAAATGTGTACATAAGCACTGAATAAGTACATAAAATATGGATGTATATTGAAATCATTGAAAAAAATGCAAATAAGAGCATACCCTAACACTATATAATGATACCTAACCTCCTAAGACAAACCAACAAAACAAAAGCCATAAGGCTTAATTTAGATTAAAATGGTAAATTTCAAATGAATTAAAATTTATTTCTATGCTACCATCAATTTACATGTATTATTACCTAAATGAAATATGTTCTCAATGTTGAAAACAATACCACATAATCTGATTTATTTGGCAACAGAAAAACTCACGAACAAAATAGTCCACACAACTAATAAAAGTTGAAACATCAATAGACTGGCATTTATTAAATAATTATCTTGAAATCAAATGAGCAAGTAACACCCAGAACTAATTTTAGTTTAATCCAAAAATCAATTTAAAATGTTATTTCCATTAACAATCAATATCCATTTAAATTAATTTCGAATGCAAACAATACTTGACCCTCGTCATAGAGGTACGTAATAACTCCTTAAACAATATTTCCTAATCTCGCTATCTTCAATACGCACCATTGAGTTAACACAAACTCTCGAAAAGAAATGGTGAAGTCAATAACAGTCCTACTACGATACATAAAACTCTTGTCATAAAAATCCCAAAACTCAAATCACTACTCGTTTTAAACACCACACAACACTGTGCAAGAACTAAGGGGAAAAAACTTCATATTAACCTGACACGGGGCGTTGTCGTATTTTCTGATTATCTCTTGCATCTGATAACAAGCCCGCAATTGTTTCCCGGAAAGCACTTTTTTCGATCTTATGAATAATAATATAACGTTATTCCCAGCGCACTAAGCCATAAACGTCGTTATTTACCTGAGCCAATAATCTCGACAGTTTCTCTACACTATTCGGTCTTTGGAGTCCTCATTATCCTAGCTTTGAAGAACAAAAGCACAACCATCCTCAGAGCTTTTTATCACAACATGGTTCGCCTGAGTTTTCTCGTTAACTAATATTCGTTCTCATCACTCTTCTTCGGGCAGTCATGTCACTCGACTTTCACGTTCTACAGGCCAGCAAAAGTCGCTGAACCCTATTGTTCAGTTTTCAGAATTTAAGTCAATCCTTGACATGACGTGTGAGTATCTCATGCATGGTGCATGCGCTTGCGCTGATGTGCCGAACTGCCGATTTCGTATTAGCGTTCGACATGTTCCTGTCCTACGCACAAAGCCACTATGATCATCCACTCTCAATAATTTCGTCAATATACTTTATATGTTATCATCTAAATTATCTTTATCTTACAAACGAAACTATTGAAAACTGGCTGTAAGAAGTTGCTCGAAAGTCGTTTCTCTCGAAAATAAAATTTAAATTTAAGATACTACGTAATGGATTGTGATTGAATGAACATCAATGTTGAATTTGATATATTCTCAAAGACAGGGCAACAAATAATACAAACGTTGACTGTTCATTTCCAATTTTTTATTGTTAGAAAAGAGCCGACACAGTATATATCACAATTTGCCTCTAATCAGGTCCTCTGTCCGTCCTTTCCAAACAAGAAGCACGGAAATTTCTGGACCCCCCTAACATCATGGTTCCAGTCAGTCCGAGTTGTACTCGTTGTACTCTTGGAGGAACTGTGTTCTGGCTGTAGCGAATGTAACATCTCCCTTGGATCAAAACGGGTAGCCAGCATTTAATCATGAACTTGACGTAAATCAGCTATTCACAGTTTTATCCAACCGAGAGCTTGGACGTCCCCATAGTGACGTCACTGCAACAACATATAAGCTTCCGATTGGATGAAACCTCGACAGCTGATTTACGTCAAGTACACGATTAAATAAATCGCACTATATGTCGGTCGTCATGTCAGTTTGTACTCTCCTTTATGCAGCGGCGGCTCATGCTTAGCAGGAAAGCCCAGACAATCTATTTTTTTTTTAATTTTCGAATGAATAATTTTATAATACACTAGATTATATTCGTAAACCAAGCGACCCGGGTTCGAATCGCGGTCGGGATGACAATTCTTTGAACAAATTTAATTGTTAGGAATATACATATTCTAGAAGACTTGCACTGATAACGAAGTTACATTTATGTCCAGAAGAAAAACTAGGGGGCATTTTAATATTTGCTCGAAGGATCAGGGAAAATGGACGAAAAACCTAATCGAGAAGGGGTCATTGACCCAGTAGCTGAGGTACAATACTTGTAACAGATTGACACACAGTCCAAATGATAATACATTAAATATCATTGTTAAAATTAATATTGCTTTTCTTTTTTATGCTTGCTGTAGTCTCTAATAGTATAGAAACAGTAAAATATTTTACTTTGGACTTAAAATTTGGGGCTGAATTTAATCGTTTAATGTCATCTGGCAAAGTGCTGTAAAATAATGTATATGAATTGTAGGTGATTTTTTTTGTAGACAAAGCCTTAACGAAGGCTTTGGTAATAAGATGTTAATACTGCCATCTGGTGAATATGATTACTACGTTGAGTAATATAGTTATAAACATCAGCGTTTGCTGAAAATATATTCCCGCCCTTCATAAGTCACTGTCAAAAGCCACTGATTCGTAGATCAAGGTACTGGTGAAATTCCTAGATTAATACAAGGAGGCTTACAAGAATAACGTGGATAGGATTAGCATATTGTTCATAAAGTTCTTTTTTTGTAATCTAAAAGTCTGGGAACAATAAGATGTAATTCCTCAGAATATTACATGCCATATCTCAGGGGGGAATGGACATTCGCGAAATATTCACAACGAGCAGTATGAAGACTGACTGAATTTGAAATAATACTGAACACATAGCATAATGAACTTAATTTTGTATTCAATTCATTTAAATGAACGTTCCATTTGAGGATGCACTTAATTGAGAGACCTAAAAAGTGTGTCACCCTCTCATCAGTCAATTGCACACGGTTCATTTTCAATGGAGTGCAGAATTGTTTATTTGAAATCGAAAACTGAAACTTTTTCTTTTCGTTTATTAATTATTTACTATTATGAAACCATTTGAAACATGAAATTGTACTATTGTGTCGTTGTATATACGATTGTGTATGTATGTGTGTATGAACTTTCATTATTGTAAAATACACCATGGTAGTGAAATTTTTGAAATGAAATCATTTCCTTATCATCACCACTAGAAGCAGCAATAACGACAACTAAGATCATGAAATGAACTAGTGTTAAGTAAAAGTGCTTGTTGCAAAGTAGCGGAGTGTGATCACTGTATTTTGAAACCTAGTTCGTTTTTCTTTTGCATGACGTCAATTACCGGCGATTGTCTCAATGCAGAACTAATACTAAAATAGTCCTCTGGGAAGCAAAGCCTGATACGTGTGTTTAGGAAGTGAACGTAATTGTCACGGACCCTAGGCATGAAATTTTGTAAGATATGTCTGAATTTAGAGTTTTATTACATTTAGTTTTAATTATTTCGAAGGGTTTCGTCAGGCCTAGTGTGGGGCAAATGCGGGCGCGCCGTTCTGTTCTCTGCTATCCGGATGGGAGCAGAGTGAGGGAGAAGCGGCCATGAATACCTCACATTCGTACGTCCACAAGGGGCGCACGTACTCAGTGAATGAGCGGCGCTTTTCAGGAATTGAGAGGTCAGGAGAACGGAGAAGAGGTTTCAAAAAGAGGTGCGAGGTTTGATTTTGGCAGCGAGATACCGACCGCGCGCATGCCAGCGAAGGCCGTTGTCAAGTAGCACGCCCAAATATCTCGCTTCGCTCTGCCAAGGTAGATGCGTGCCAGCCAAACTCATCGTTTCATAGGGGTTAGCCCTCTTGGGAATGAAGTTGACGGCGACGCATTCTCGAGGTTGAGAGCGAGTCGTTTCCGACTTAACCATTCAGGAAAGGCAGCGAGACAATCATTTAAGTATTTAACTGACTGCCTTCCGTTCGTCGATTTCGCGTAGTACGCACAATCATCCGCGAACATCAGGAGCCCGCAGCGTTGAATACCAGTTCTCGTTTCAACAGGAAGAGGCACGTCATTTACGTATAAGCCAAAGAGGGTAAGAGAGAGAACACTCCCCTGAGGCACGCCCGCTTCGGCTCGACTGAGGGACGAGTATACGTCATTGACACGCACTTTGAACTGTCTGTCAGAGAGAACACTCGCGACGAGTCTGACGTAGCAATCGCTCCCTCCCACCCCCGCGAGACATGCGAGCAATCCCGCATGCCACACAGAGTCGAAAGCCGATCGCATATCCAGAAAGATCGCTAGCAAGTTCTGCCATAGCTGCCAAATGGCTAGCGATGCCACCTTATAAAGGGAAGGAAGGAATGAGCAAGATTGGTCCAGGTGAAGACCAATAGGAAGCGGGCAGGTGGTACGGGATTAGTGGAGGAAGAGCTGTAGCGGAGTGGGGGAGGTGGGGCGCATGGGAAGGGTAGCAATGAAATTTGGAGGCGGATTAACACGTAAAAGAAATAAGATTGTGTTACGGAACTCTCTGAGAGGCAACGGAGTAATAGCCAATTGGCGGCCGGGAGGGGCGCCCGTCATTGGTCGACCGTGGAGGGGGGTGTCCCCCGGGGGAGGCACCGCATTGGCGGGGCGAAAAAGCTCGTTTCCAGGTGGTACTGAGGCGGAGACCATCATTTCAATTTAAGTTCTTGGACCGTCTTGATATTTCTAGGACCTCTTTAATGACGCGTGGCCACCATCGGTCTTCAGGGCTAAGAGTAGGGCTCTTGTTAAATCCAAAGAGGTGACCGATTTCGGTGGCGTATAGAGCTAAGGCCGACTTGAATGTGTTCTTTAGTCGGTCATGACGCATGTGACCATCTATAGAGCGACCCGTTTGGTGGATGTATATTAGCCCGCAGCTTCAAGGGATTTCATATACCCCAGCGGTATCAGGAGGATCCACGCAGTCTTTTACCTGGACCAGGCTCCTCCCGATCTCGTTCTGGGCGTAGTACACCGGGCAGATGTTGGCTCTAGGATGCAGCCTGCCGATCCTGTTCGCGACACTTTGAATGTATGGGAGTCGCGCCTCCGGGATGGGCTGGGTGTCTCGTTCGGGGCGTTGGGTATCGGTGCGTTATCAAATGCGTCGAGGGTTCTCAAGGCCTGTTGTATTGTGCAACTGCTGTAGCCATTGGCCAGGAAAGTCTGTATTTCTTTCTCTCTTTTGACGTTGTTGCCGTCGCTGATGAGGGCGGCCCGGTGAGTATGGATGCTGAGGACTTCCCATCAAAGAGAATAGTCAGGATAAAATATGCATGCCAAAAAAAAATGCTTACTTTTCTGAAATATTGAAGTTCACTTCGATTTCACATTCAGATGAGCTTGGTTGAGCAATATTTAAATATTTGTTTGAAATACGTATTTTAATAACATTTTGTTTGAAAAACTGTATTTTTGTTGTTTTGGGACTTGTATTTTGGAAATACCTATAAATATATAAAACTAATAAATTAAAAAATACTTTAATAAGAATTGTGCGAATTATTGAAGCCTATCGCACATACACTAAATTCATTGCAAAACGAGAAATTTTGTTATTATGGAAACTTTTTACCAGCAATAATTTCTGAGCAATCATTTAATAAGATTTAAGATTACTGATTAAGATGGTTTGAGGCAATGTATATTTTATCGTGATATTTCATCAAGCAAGACAGTGTGATTATATTTTAATGAGTTTTACGAGTGATGGCCGAGGCGAGAATATGGGTAAAAATTTCAGAATTATAATTTTACGTGACTGTTCCTGTTGTTACAAAGTCAAAGTGACCAGACGTCCCGTATTAACCGGGACAGTCCCATAATTTGATTACATGTCCCGTATTTTTTATAGGAGAACGGGACGCTAAAATGTCATTTTTTGTGACAATGACTTATCTGCATAAAATGTCGTACTAGATTTATCATAATGTAGTGGGTAGCCGCCTGGGTTTGCACCGACCAACTCGGGTTTGCAGCATCCGGCGCCTCGCTCGCTGGAACTTACCTGTCTTCTCATAGCTTTCCTGTAATTTTGAATGTTGCTCTATAGGGTGATCATTGGGTGCCAACAGGAAACCACTTGAGCAGGGGACAACTCGAACTAACGAGTGTATCCCGTAAGAACATTTGCTATAGAAAATTTAAATGAAAATGTTTAATTAAAAACTGTACCTTATATCTAATTATAAAAATAACAATACCCTTTACGGGCGCCATTAATCGTCATTTGCGATAAAATGATCTTTACTTTCAAAAGCCATGCGTGGCTTTGCTGTAGTTAAGAGTTTGTTTCGTCTACACTAAAAGAGTCCCACGGACATCATAGCCATCTGTCACATTGTCTATTTACCATCGTTGTTCAGCTGATGTTGGGACATCGCCCTGAAGCAGGTCGAGTCGGCCGCACGCGCCGAACTAATTGGTGGGCGGGTGCGCAGCAGGGTGGCAACGCACTCTCAGCTAGCTTCCTCCGTGCTTAGGTGTGAGGTTCGCCTCAGGTCAATGCGGCCTTGACCGGTCTATCTCGTCAGCGGAGGCATCAAATCTCGAACACGCGTTCACAACACGGCACAACTCTGATATTACTCTGCGATAGCAGATGTCAGACTTAAACCTCGTTTCGTTGGTGCGGAGGAAATCCCCGTAACTGATTGACGGGAAACAATTAACATTGAGATTGGTGTACAGCACGTTGACTTCAGGTATTAGCAGTCACCGTTTGTATTATATTGCCCCGAGCATTACTTTGTGCGTGAGCAGAGCTAGTGCTAAGATAGCACACGGTTGCATTTCCATGAAATTTTACGTTAAGTTTCACTGAATTGAGAGATCTAAAAATGTTGTTACCTTAACATCAGTCAATGGCCCACCGTTTATTTTCGATGGAGTACAGAGGTGTTTATTTGAAATAGAAAACTTCATTGAAACCGTTTTCTTTTCATTTACTATTAATTTGTTATTGCGGAACCAACTTCAAATATTAGATATTGTACTATTTATGCGAAGATAATTTTGAAAGTAAAATGTTATGATTAATGACGTCAAAAGCTTTTGAAAGATCTAAAAATATTCCAATAGATTCTTCGTTTTGATCCATGGATGAGGCAGGATTTTTTCCAAAAAGAAAATATGGCTGTTTCCGAAGATTCGAAACCCATGTTGGCAATCTGAAATAGCGTCCTGTTTACGAAGAAAGGTTTCCATTCGTACGAAAAAAGTCTCTATAATATTTTTGAAAAAAACGACAAAAGAGAAATTGGCCGATAATTTTGAAGTTTATTTTTGTTGCCTTATTTGAAAATCGGCTTAATATTAGCTGTTTTAAAAATATCTGAAAAAATTCCTGTGCTTAAGGAAACATTAAATATGCGAGTTAACGGGTGTATATTGTCGGGCGCACAAGTCTTACAAACAATCTGGAAATTCATCTAAACCGACTGAATATTTATTTTTTAGTCTACCCATTATTTTGAAAATTTCATTGGAAGAAGTTTCGGAAATGAACATCGTTTCTAAAAATTTTGGGAAAACGTCTGATGTTGAATTTTGTGGCTGGAGACCCTTAGTGAGATTGGCAGCAATTCTCAGAAAGTATTGGTTAAAGAGACTATCCACTGTTGCCGGATCGTTCAGTCCATTGCACCGGGCTATTTTAGAGGTTAGGTGCGGAATTTATGAAAGTTGATTTTGATTCGTCGTGAAAATGTGAAGGCAATTGAGAAACTTCTGTCACATAGAGATACTTCGAATGATGGAGTATATCATGTTTTATAGAAATGTCTTAAAATGTTTTTGTGACTTACACTAAGTTCTGAAAATTAGCTTGTGTAGTCTTAAAATTCAACCTAGGATAACTTCCTGTTAACAAATCCAGTGCTATTTATTAACCAAAGTGTAGATACGTCTTAATTTCAAAACGCTAATAAAGTAAATAATAAAAATTGTGACTAATGCCCTTACAAAATCATTCAAATACATGTGCCAAGAAATATTTCTCGCGCACTTATACATGTGCCAGCGGAAATGCTCTTGTAACTTTATAATTTTTAATAACAAAACAATTCTGAAGAAGCGTTTCGGTTCAAAATTTAGTGTTTTATAGTAACAGATCAAGAACGGCTGTCTATAATCGCACTGCGCAGCGCACACGCACACGCACTAACTCGGTTCCGGAATCCGTTTCATTCGTGGCTGCCCTTCAAGGGAGTAGAGCAGTAGTGTTGCGAAGCGAAGACGTTTTTCCCTTGGACTAGGGTAGGTTTCACTGCAACGATTGGAAAACGCTACTAATTGAGAAATACTGACCGATTAGAAAATGAAAGTGAAAATGAAATAAATGCGGTTTTTAAAAAAATGTATTTTTTTAATTTTTTAAGGGATTCTTTGATTGGTAGAATTGAATGCTACTACATCATGAAAAGTATGGTATTTATTTTTTATTTATTTATTTATCTAATTTTAATTTCCAAAGCTAAATATAGTGTTTAACGTCCTCTTTCGTATCATTTATCGTTGTGACACAAACCAATATCTCCCGTTTTCAAAATTTCGTCACCTTTGTATTAGTCGCACAACTTTTCTTGGACGATGACCTTGCCCCTATTTGGCACAATAAACAGCTGAAGGTGAAAGCTCGCAGCGAGTACTGATGACAAAATTGCAAACACATTGTCACTGGCGCAAAATATAAACACTTTTCTTTTGAAAACTTCTGTTTCAAAAAATCTAAAGTCATGACCGAATCAGATAAAGGATCTCTCACAGGAGATACCTCGAACTCCTCAGAAAGATGGCAAATGATTGAGAAAGTTTCGAATGCATTACTAATTCTCCAGAGATTGGCATTGCTTCATGAAATCTAGTGGCCGATTTCGTAACAAATATCCCTACTCTACTCGCATTTCTTCAATCCATCGTCCAAGAAAAGTTGCGCGAGTAAAACGTGCTGTTGTAAGACCATGTGTTGGTACTGCTCTTTCATAAACGTTATTATGTTGTAACACTTAGGAGCCCAATTCGTCGTTAAATAGTTCAGTTTGTAATATATCTCGTTTGTTTTGTATTTGAAGTTGAACTTGATATTAATAACGTTGAACTTTGAATGTTGATTTGGGGCGCGTTGAACTTCAATGTATGGTTCTAGAGCATTGATTTATCACCTTCATGATTATTATTAACTACTTCCAAGACATCAGCAATGGGTTCCGAAAGATGGGCAGAAAAATGCCCTTCATTTTATAGGCTTCAGTACAGTATGGGTGGTATTGGGCAGGAGAGAGAAAAGTGAAGTGCGCGGTAGTGCGTGGTGTTCGGTGCAGATGTTGTGTAGGCGCTCACAGAGGTTGCGTATTACTCGCGCAACTTTTCTTGAACGATGACCATACTTCCCTCTCTCTGACACAATAAACTGATGAAGGCAAAAGCTGGCAGCGAGTACTGTGACAACATTCTAAACACGATCTTCACTGGCGAGAAATAGAAACAATTTTCTTTTGAAGACGAGAACTTCTATCCGTTATTTTCGACAAAAATCTAAAGAAATGACCGAAGCAGGTAAAGATCTATCACAGGAGATACCTCGAACTCCTGAGAAAGTTAGAACGCAAATTATTGAGATAGTTGCGAAGGCATGACTGATTCTCCAGAGATTGACACCAATTGACACTGCTTCATAAAATCTAGTGGCCGATTTCGTAACTAATACGCCCACTCTACCCACATTTCTCCAATCCATAGTTCAAGAAAAGTTGCCCTAGTATATGTGCAATTCACACTTTTGAAAATGAATATTTCCGTATAAATGGAAGACGAACATATTCATTAACATCTAAAACAGCGGTGTTCAACTTGCAAAGTCTCAAGGGCCTCAAATAAAACCTTTACTAAGGTTGCTAAGGTATTTTCATCACTTGGGCGATCCACACCTGACTTCCCCGTGTTGTTGGTCTGCGTACTATGCGTGATATCAGGCCGCACAACGCAGTGAAACGCATTGAGTTGATTTAGAATTTCTGAATTTACAAGAAAAAAAATTAAAGCTAAACTTAACCTAGTTTTGAATTAAGGTGGTGTTATTATTTAATAATAATGCACTATCTTCTCACCCGATATTGATGAAAAGGACTTACACTTTCGAGTAATAAGCAGGCCACAATGAACGAGATCCCGGGCTGTCAGTTAAACAATCCTGATCTAAAGCACCATTTGAATTAATCTGAATACGAATGAAGAGTGGACATTTCAATGTATGTTCCAATTTAAATATAGTGACTAATGACTTATCATTAGCTGTGAGGTGATTATCCAATCGAAAACTTGAATCTAAAAAATTAAAATCATAACGAAACTTTTGATTGCATAACCGAGGCCACCTGTTGATTAGTCTTAAGTTACTACATTTGAAACAAACAAGTTTGCCATTTCAATAAGATATTTGAGGTAAAACAGAGGAAAGCCACTATTTTCTTGCCTCCAGTTTGCCCCGCAAGTTTTCCTTCCATGCACACTCACTCACGCGTGTTCTTCAACCGTGCTTTGAATGAAGCATGCAATAATCAAAGATAAAATATAACTTACGTCGCAACTGTGGCAAGGAGTACTAAGGGGATTTTAAAGAAAAAGAACCTCATTCGCTACTACCTACTATTAACTTGTCAGTTTGTTAGAAATCACTCTCAAATCGAGTGAACTCAGAGCCGCTCAGTGCTTACCAGGTGTAATTAAAATTTTTTTATACGCGTGGCAGGTGGAAGCAGCACAATATGGGTTGGTATGAATGGTATGGGGTGGTATTAGGTGGTATTGGGCAGGAGAGCGAAAAGTGAAATGCGGTTTCGTGCGTAGTGTTCGATACAGGTGTTGTGTAGGCGCTCACAGTGAGCTTGCGCATCATCAGCAGCTGGATTAAGAAACACGAGGAAGTTGTGTTGTCATTCTCATTCTGGTTGTTGGTCGACTTCAATTGTGAAATACTGACAGGACGAAGAAAACAACAGTGACGCGGAATGTGACCCTCTTATCTAGTGTCAAACTCATTTGAATTTTCTTTTCTTGTTTCGTGTGCGTCATCGCAGAGGTGCTTTGGATTACCTGCCTTCATCTGGTGTCAGTTTTACGTAGCCATCGCAGACGTAGACATCTTACGTGGTGTAAAATGAATTTCGTTCAGCGCATAAGCAAGTTCAGCTTCTGCAATTCAGGTATAAGGCATTTTTCTGTTGCATCCAAAACAGCACCTCAAATTGCGGCTTTAGAAGAGCAGTGTATATTAGTGGATGAAAATGACAAAGTGGTAGGAAGAGCGAGTAAGAGAGACTGTCATTCTTTAAAAGCAAATGGAAGTTTACTTCTTCATAGAGCTTTCAGCGTTTTTGTTTTCAACTCAAAAAATCAGCTTTTACTTCAACGACGTTCGTCTCAAAAAATCACTTTTCCGGACTGTTTTACCAACACTTGTTGTAGCCATCCTCTATACGATATACCTGGTGAACGAGAAGAAAATGATGCTCTGGGTATTCGCAGAGCAGCCCAACGAAGACTTCGACAAGAATTGGGGATACCAACTGAGGAAGTGTCAATAGAAGATCTTAAGTATTTGACTCGTATACATTATCAAGCACATAATGATGGTGGGGTTTGGGGAGAACATGAAATTGATTATATCTTATTTCTTCATAAAGATGTTACTCTTCTTCCAAACCCTGACGAAGTGAGTGAGGTTCGTTATATTGATAGAAATGAATTAGATTCATTTATAAATTCGTCAGTGCATCTTACTCCATGGTTTCGTCTTATAATAAATCATAATTTGCGATTGTGGTGGGACAATCTTTCAAATATCACAAATTTTATTGACCATTCTAAAATACACAAACTTCAATAGTATGAATCTTTTATATATTACTATTTTTGGTTACTTTTTTACCTGTTATATGAAGTGAAGGGTAATATACTCTATAAACTTGCATGAAGAGATTTTTTTATTACATGAATATAGAAGATAAATTTTTCATGTTGGTTTGAAGTAAAATTTGAAGTGTTAATATTCATAAAGTTTGTTAATGATAAACATAAGTTTTCCATTATTAATTTAATCTTTATAAAAATTCACTTTAAAGTTACTCACTGGAAGAGAAAAGGTTTAAGCATAATTTCGATTTTGTATACTGCTATACATAAGGTAAAATGTATTTTGTGGTCAATTTTTTAAGTTTTATATACATTGATAATATGATTTGCACCATATTTTTATCAACTATTGTACCGTCAAGTTTTCAAAGAGATTTCATTTTGAGTTACTTTATAAGGAATGTATAGTCTTTTATAAGAATCTTATTTTAGGTAACTTCATGGTTCATTTGGATTGTCGCCTTGAATGATTAACACGGATTTTTCATCAAAATTGTTTAATCTTGCAGTGACAGTTTTCATATATATATATATATATATATATATTCATTACTGCAATGAAAAATCTGTTGAGGCTTGTGTAGCTCTGATTTGGTTTTCTTTGCAACACATTCTAATAAACATCTGATCAGAACACATTTTACTTAATCATTGTGAATATAATTCAACAAATGATTTTTATGAACTCTTTATGTATAAAAGAATTTGCAATAAATGACAATATAAAAATTAACCAACTTGAGAATAAAAACTATTTTAATAGAAAACTGCATTTATTAAGATTATCCCCACTCCTGAGTAGATTGTGCTCTACATACCTTAAAACATAGGCCCTCTAAATTCAACTCCATTTATGTATTAAAAGTATTTGATGCAATAACTCCATAACAGCATATTTTAGAACTTTAAGATGTCACATGCTATAATTTCCTACAATCAATTTTCATAGCCTTTAGTGATAATTATGTTGATTCACTATTCATTCATTTTTCATCTTTATCGTTTGAGAATAGAGGTTGAATGCAGGAGGGAGAGGTGCACTTTGTTTCGGCACATAACTACAGGCCTAATTTAGCATTTGCAACGGTTGTGCAAGAGTATTTAAGTCTCATTTCCTGTGTTAAGTTTTCATATTTCATTTGAACTATTACCTGTTACTTGTTCTACGTATTGTGAATTATTCAACTAATATTTTTAGGATTTATCCCCCCATTCAGTTATTGTTTCACTAGAGGCTCAGATTGAATGATTCTGCAAATACAAAAAGTTTACATTAACAAAAATACAGTAAATTGTTTAAATGAAAATGGCAAATTAAAAATTAAATGGGTGGCATGAAATATACTCGCTACTTCAGTTGCAAATTAATGACTTTCCTGTTCATTATATCCTAATGCATGAAATTGAAGAAATGTAATAGTATGCATATAAGTTTGGTATACATCTAGCCGGATCATGGTATACTCAGAAAGATGAAAATGAACTAATACAAACATAGGCTTATGAGTTGAAGTAAAATGGAGCACTTAAAAATTACATAAATCAAATGACTCACACCTAGAGGGTCTTTCTACTTTAATTTTATGCTACAGTTTCTGTTGCAAACTTCAGTAAAAAGAAGTAATGTAATTGAATTCTGTAAAAACATTAGATTGGGGAAAATAGTTGAATAAACAATAGTTTACACTTATTTATAACATATATTTACTAATAAAAAATAGAAATCGTCCAAACAAAAAATGATTCGAAACATGTCGTGTACAAGAACAATGACATTTATATTGCTAATAAATTCAAACATTATAACCTTTAACAAAATTCAGGATCATAAATATTGGTCTGGTAATATAATGTAAACACTCATGGCCTCAGAACATTTACATTGGATATAATAAAACTGATATAAATTGCTGCCACACCTACATGTTCAGAGCACCTTGTTGCATACAACAATTTCCCATTTCTGCACGTTTTGTAAAACTCATCTAACATTTTCATCATGAAACTTGCGTAAGGCATCCCACTGCTTAGAATGTAACAAAATGTGAGATCTCTTATTTTTCATAAATTGAACAGCTTCTTCTGGGCTCCATCTATTAGCAGTCATCAAATAACAACCAACTAATGTAGCACTTCTTGTACGCCCTGCTTTACAATGCACATATACACTTCCACCTGTGTCTTTGAATGAACTGATGAAGGTTACGCCACGTTTCAGTTTATCTTGACAGGGAGTTTCGAATATATCAGTAGTACTTAACTGCAAAAATTGAACACCACGCTTTTCCCAATCTTCTTTCTCATTAGCCAGCAGTAACTCATAGCTTTCATTCATTGATACAACACCTTTCACGCATTCGTCGCTTACCAATTTGTTGGTCATATTTTTAAATGGAAGAGCGCCTAATATCACAGTTTCATCAATACGGTCGTACCATCGGCGACTAGATATCTTTTCCATACAAACATTGTATAGAAGTGTAGGATAAAACGTAAGACGAGCAAACATAATCGTGAGTCACTTAAACAAAATCAAGTACAACGATATTCTCTTCATCAGCTTGAAGTCTTCCTAAAGTTATGTGATGTCATAAGTGTGTCACTCTCACCACCTACAGGTAAAATTTCTCCAGAAATTAGAACAAACGGAACATGGAAAGATGCCGTTGCCGTTGAATTCCAACCATACCGTTCCAACAACGGTGCGGTGAATTCAGTTCTGATCATCGGAACAATTGGTAGATGCACTCGAAGCCCCTAAAATCGCTCCATAAGTGAAGGGCAATCGGCATCACCTGACGTAACCAGTACCTCAAGAATCTTTCCACCAGGGAAGGAATAGATCCTAGGCGCATACTGCATAATCTGCTCCTTAACCAAAGTGAAACCAGAAACAAAACAAATGAATTGCTGTCATATCTTTAGTTGTCACAAAGAGTAAAGCACGAGTGAGTTGTCATAGCAACCAGTTGATAAGTAAATAATTGTCATTCGGGAAGGATTTTGATGACCTAAACCATTGCCAAAAATTATAAATGAAATGCTTTAAAAATGCCCTAAAAACAAAGAAAACTGACTTTTTTTTATCAAAACCACTTCAGATGAACAACTCGAGCTGTTGGTTATTTTACTGATGTAATCGAGGCTTCTTCCTTCTGTTCAAGAGAACTCAACCGGTGCCTTCGTGCCGACTCAACTCGCAAACTTTTGTTTTAATAATAATAATAATAATAATAATAATAATAATAATAATAATAATAATAATAATAATACAAATCGTATTGATTATATTATTATTAGTGTATGTACTTTTATTATTATTATTATTATTATATTATTATTATTATTATTATATTATTATTATTATTTTTGTTATATTATTATTATATTATTATTATTATTAATTATTTATTATTATTATTATTATTATTATTATCTATTATTATTAAAACAAAAGTTTGCCCGATTGCAAAAGTCCGGCACGAAGGCACCGGTACTGAGTTCTCTTTGAACAGAAGGAAGAGCCTCGATTACATCAGTTAAAATAACCAACAGCTCGAGTTGTTCATCGGAAGTGGTTTTGAATAAAAAAAAGTCAGTTTCGTGTTTTAGGGCATTCGTTAAAGCATTTCAATTTTATATTTTTGGCAATTGGTTTAGGCATCCAAAATCCTTCCGAGGAATGACAATTATTTACTTATCAAAACTGGTTGCTATGACAACTCACCTGCGTTACTCTTTGTGGAACAACTAAAAGATATGCACAGCATATTTCATTTGTTTGTTTCTGGTCTTCACCTGGGTGGTTAAGGAGCAAGATTATTTGCAGTATGCGCCTAGGCATCTATGTCCTTCCAAAATATATGTGAAAAGGAAAGAAGAAATAGACTAATGTACGAAACTAAAAAAGGTACTTCCATTCCAAAACTCTTATCGTTTTAGATATTAATCTATTGCATTGTAATACAACCAAGCTTCTGACATCTAAAAATATGTTGCATATTGAAAAGATTATTCATTTTTCAAATTTGTTATAGTTGTAATTGAACTTATAATTTCTTTTAA